GGAAAAATGTTTGTTTTCCGTCTATACCTGCTAGTTAGCAATTTTTAAAATTTTTGTTTAGTTTTTGATTGCTAGAAAGTCACAAAAATGCGTTTGAATTTTAAATCCGAAACTTTGACCTTTCGTTCATTTTGCATACATTTTTTACCCACGAGTTCGTTTTTTATAGAAAACTTTTAATATCTAAAAACCGTGTAAAATGCTATACAAAAGGGTTTATATTTGTGCTATTCAACCGTACCAGAGTTGCTGCGAAAAATTAGTTTCCCCCCCGCTAACAGTCTCGTGCCGCAGCTTTTCAATCAACTGACCTTCATCCCGGCTAGATGCGGTTCGATAATCCTTGTTCGCTCGGCATCGACAACGGTCTTCCCGGACAATAGGGTCAGCCATTTGATTCTTGCCCCCCCCCCAATTGTTCGTTATTGCTTGAATCCAGTTACCTCCTTTCCGACGTGCCCTCCTTCCATCCTCTGGCTTTATCAAAGGCTTCTTCTAACCGTTTCGACTCGGCCTCAGGGTCAATGACTGGGTACGCCAACTAAATTTTCATCTTTAAACTCCGAGTTTTGTCGTTTAATTTTTTGAAAGTAAATTTATCCTCTACATCTCACACTTACCTCCTTCCTTTCTTGATTGGCAAAAACATCAGGCTCACCAAACACCCGGGTAATCTGGCATGTATTCCATATAGCAGCCGCCAGCTGTAATGGCTTATGCTATACCGTACTACTACGGTATTTTCACCTCAGGCATACTCGGCGGAATATTTGGCCTTGAAAACGCCGCATCGGTTGGGTAGTCAGCAGCCGTATCGTACGAGTAATCGGTCCCAGAACTTGACGGTGACGGCGACATGTTTGGGAAAAGGCTGATAAAATGATTCTCTCGAGCAAAGGTGACTCACCCGGTAGTGGAGAATGCTCCAGCCGGCTTACATGAAGCCACGCATTAAAGTCGCGCTCGAGTGAGGCCGGCGTCGAAGTGTCGATCAAACATCCACAATGGACTTGGGTGCGGTAGGCCCTCTGACGCATCCCGGGGGTACGCATTTGGATACGCTTCGGGCTGAGGCGGCAGGAAGGGCTCTACTTTTTTCTCGCCATCCATTCACGGGCCTGAAAATTTGTTTGCTGCAAGGTGTAGATGTTGCCCTCTATGGAGTAGAAGGTTAGGGAAAGGGCGACACGACAATTGGGCCCATAATTTTTAACCGAACCAATATTTTAATACAGCCTTAATTTTTTTGACACCAATTATATGTATCCTACCAGGCCAGAAACTACTTTAACAGTCAATTTAAAAATTTAAACGTCTTTGCCTCAGGTTTAAGCTTTTAAACTTAGCAAAATTTTAAACTGAATTTAAACTTTAAACTTTTAAAAAATGCAGTTTTCTTCCACACCGGGCGGCCATCACTTTTGTATCTCGGCTCCGCCTTGTTCTAAAGGGTTGTAAGGTGTGTCGAAATGTTCATCTTGATCTGGCGAAAGTATTTTGGTATACTTTACACCCCGGTAGCAAAATGGGTAGACGCGATACAGAGGTTCGTGAACTACGTGTCGCGCTACACTCTTGCCATTTATTTAAATGGCCCTAGTATCGTTTTAAAGCCAAGTTTTCGGACCGTAAGTGTCGAGCACCTGAGCAAAGTACTGCCCTATTCCCACAACTTCATGTCAAAGCTGTCAAGCCCAATCCCAGAAAATCCCAATCCAAGGGCAAACTTCACTACGCCTCAGGCTATCGGTCGATCCGGGCGAATGGAGAATCACTCTGACAGTTTCCCTTTTTGCGGGATTCGAAAGCGAGGAGGCTTGCCGACAATAAGGGGTGGGAATGGCAGTGGGTTTGTGTCAGGAAGGATACTGGTTTCCATCATACAACTGTACATGGGAGTTGGTGGTCTGCTTTCTGTTTCGAGGGGGTGCTTCAGTATTGTTCGTCGGCAAAATACTGTCTCGGGACATGGTCACACCTTTTTTGGAGGAGCCCTGTAGGGTTGTGGACCGGGTCGCGAAAAATACGCGACATTAGCGGGTGGACAAAGGTTGGGGGGATGAGTCAGAGCGGTTGGTAATTTTACGAAATAATTGGTGTAGTTGGAAGATGACGTGAAGGGCATAAAGCTATAAGGAAATCAAAATCTATTATCTTGACTATGACTATGAAAAATTGCGAATTCTGCCTGTGGATCTTTCACCTTATCGGGGGGAGGTGCGGGGCAAAGTCTGGAAAAGCCTAGTCCCTGAATAGGAAGTATTTTAATAATGTTTTTAGTATAATAAAACTAGATTTCAATAGAAAAACTGTCTAAAAACTATTAAAAAATTTCAAAAATGAAATATTGGGCAAAGAACCGCCATGTTTAGTCGGAAATCGAGATTCTTTGTATTTTTTAAACAAAATTTGTGTAATTTGTAGGTGTTTACGTTTCGGAATAGTAAAAAGAGCTTAGAACAACCTCCGCTAACGTATAAACCCAAAAACTAAAATAACTTAAAGCCAAGGAAAAGTTACCTAGACAAATTTTTATCACTGTATAGGAAGTACATCCAAAAACTAAAGTAACTCCAAATAGCAACTAATATTCTGATTCAATACAATCCAAAACGAATCCCAAAACGGCAAGGTGGCGGTGACGCGTCGAAAAACATTTCTCCAGCGCCTCCAGGCAGCCCCCAGCCGAACCCCCCGAGGGGGGTGGGAAGCGACGATCGGCTGGGGGAGATCAGACGCAAGCGATTGGCAACGAAAGTGAAGACGAGTATCGCTCCCACCCCTAAAAAGGAGCTATTTTAATAGAAAGTGAGGAGGCGGGCGAGAGAGCGGCGACGCGGCGGAGGATGAAGATGCCGTGGAGGGCTGGCGGAGATAAAGGAGGCATCCGCGAACGGCATTCGCCCTCCCTTGGTAGAACAGGTTCTTCGGGTGCCTCCAGGGGGGTGGTGGGGGGCGAAAGCAGGGCTTCCCTTCCTCGGCACAATCGCTGGCAACAATCGAATAACAACTCGGAAGCACACAAATGCAGCCGGAGGGCCGGCTCTCGATTTCCCTATGAAAGGGCCGGTGGGGGAACATCAGACCGGGGGGAAACGCCGCGCGCGCCGCCGTACCTGGAAAACAACGTAGAATACTTTCTGAAAGTTGCACCGACTAAACTAAAGGCAGCTAAAGTTTTCCAAGTAATTCCTTCCGCTTCGAATGCCTAAACTCTATTACTTCTCCATGGAAATCGGTCGGTATTTGAGTGTTAGCAGGGGGGTACTAACTTTTCCAGTAATCCTCTACGGTCCGATGGCAAAATATACCCATTTTTATATTATGTACACTGGTTGTAGATAAAAAGCCCATAAAAAAGCGAAAATTTTTGACTTCTTCGCGAAAAGTTTATGAAAATTGACCAAAAAAGATTTTCAAACGGTTTAAAACAATTTTGTAAAATTTTTGAAAACATTTTTGTAACTTTCTAGCGATCAAAAACTACTAAAAACATTATAAAATACACTATTTAGAACCAACAGGTCGAAGCAGGAACACAAAAATTACTTTTCTCCCTGATAAACCCCCTTTCCCCCGTTAACAGTCCAGTACCAATAGGCCTCCTGGTTCCGTAGCCAGCTAAAAATTCCAAAAATACCAAAAACCACGTCAGGAGCATCACCCACCTAACATACTACTCCACAATTATTGCAGCCAGTCTTCTGCGTAGGTGTCTACCAGTAAATGGGTGCAGGCCGAGCGCATTCCATATAAAACAGATGGGCCCAGGCCCGCTGAGGCTGCCGAAAACCCCGCTGGCCATTCAACGCCCATATCTCCGTACGATGAGACCACAGCTCGCGTTTTGTTTGCTATTTTACTGCCTATTACTCTGGAGCTGCCAGGCAAGACCAAGGTAAGTACGCTATAGGTATAACGCTAAACGAACTTATTAGACTTTACAGCTAAAGCAAAGCTAGATTTCCAGATTACCAGACCTGATCCAGGGTTTTTCTTCCAAATACAACCGCCACTGCTTCTTCACCGCCCTAAACTGCCTCTACCCGCGCATGGTTGATTCTAAGCGGAGTTGGCTGACCTGAACAAAACTTTTATCGCAATGTAAATGTGTGAAAAATAAATATTTGGAAGTTATCAAGCATGTTAGTAAACTAGTAAGATCAAAGTAAATGCGACAACAAGTCAAGAATCACAATCATCGGCCGATCGCTTGTAAACAGATTGGAGTTTCCGCTTCTCTTCGTTGTAACGGTCGAGGTCGGCCTTGAACTCCGCGATGTAAGGTTGACGCTCTTCCGGTGAAAGGGCCTTCCATTTAGGGCCGCAAACTTGGATTGCCGTAAGGCCATGATGCCCCTTGTTGCCCCAGTTAGCACAGTATTCACGTACGAATCGGCAATACGGGTTCGCTGGCCGCTTAATCGAGCGTATGTCTTAGGCTGCCAAACACTGGCCTTCGACGAAGCCGATCGGCGCGTACTGCGACGCACGTACGTTCTATGATCTGGTGGCCTTTCGATGTACGGCTTCCCAAGCCCGGCCATTTTGACGAACTGGCCCTTCGTTGCGGCGGCCATACCCTTCCACTGGTCCTTGCAGAGCTTCGTGAGCTTGACACATGGCGTCCGTTCGTTCGGGAACGCTTTGACGTAGTTTTTGATGCACGTAGTCGTGAAGAAGTCGAGTCCTTCTTGCTGTCGCTGCTGCGTTGTCGCTGCCATGAAGCACGGCTGGCGCACTGAAAAATAGATATTAAAACGGGTATATAGATTTTTCAAATTGTTTTTCTGAATTTTCTACTCAATTTTTCGAAACATTTCTACAAAAACAGCGAGGATCCGATCGAAATGAAAGAAATTTCCAAAATTCAGTTGGTGATGCTCCATTTGCAACTATGTACCCCACGCGCGTAAACTGGAATATGCCGGAAATATATTTTCGCAAATAAAATCCGCATTTTTTAAAATATCAGTCTTTTGAAACCTTTCAGAAAACTATGTAAAAATTAAAGAAATGTAAACCACGAGTTATAGACTCGATTCTTTGTTCTTTGCGGTTCAAACGACACCAAATATCCCGACTTTTTGTTTAACGCGATTTTCATCGACCCTCGCCACCGAACTGGAGTTGAACGTGTTCTTTCTATCTTTTGGCCTTATTCTTTTCTCTTCTCTTTTTCCTAGAGAGCCAAGGCTTCTCCCGAGCTGCTCCCTTATTTGAACTGGGCCCCGGTGCCTCGCCCCACATTTGACCAATGCAATGCAGCGTCGGCGTTCCGCCTTATTTGCAAGCATAAAGTATAAAACTGTATGCAATCGTCTTTCAAAAGCTCTCTTTTCAGGATATTAAAATTTAGACTTGTCGGAGTATTAAATCTGTTATTTTCAGGTCTCTGCGGACCCCCGAGTATGAACATACCGGGAAAAGCGCCTCGATGGTTGATTGGATCCGCGTTCGGCATCGGCTTTGCCGTTTTTGCCGCCCTCGGGGTGTTAATATACGCGGTGAGCCTTGTTTTTAGCGGTAATTTATTTTTGCTAGGCTCATAAGGAGATTCATGGCTCAAATCGATGCGGGATGACGTTTATGTGGCGTAAAATCAATATGCTGGTAAGCAATTCGATACATATCAAAAGTAATTTTCCCTTTAGACGATCAAAGTTGAAAACAACAGCGTCTCAAAATACGGCCTTTATCGCTACCTGGAGGGCGACAATCCTCGATTCTTGTAGGTTCCTGGTTTTTGGTAGAAGCCTGACCGTTTAGTGATCGCATTGATGAAACGGCTTTTCCGGTTCTATTCGTCCCCGGCAGCGGAGGCTCTGGAAATCAGGTAGTTAAGGATCTAATATCTAATTTGTTTGCAGGTTCGCTCCATCGCATCGGTGCTACAAAACAAGACCGAGCTGCGCAAGCTTCCCTATGATTTCCACTTTTATGCGGTCGATTTTGATGAAGTAGAATGAAGGCGAAAATTTTATGCAATTTTAGGAACTTACCTTTTTATCGGGCAGCACCATCTTGCGACAACGTGAATTTGTGCTCAAAGCGATCGGTGTGCTGTTGGAGATTTACAAAGATCTCAACAAGGTTTGGGTGTTTTCTAAGGCTGAATTTCGTCTAGCTGACGTTGATTGGGCACTCGTTCGGCGGCTCTATCGTTCTCTCACTGGTTGGCGGGGAGGAGATCGTGCGGCAGAATGTCGATCTGGTGCTCTCCTTGGCGGCGCCAATCGCGCTTCCACGTACGTTATTTTCCGAGTTTTTAAAGCCCGAGTTTTTGCAGCTATAATGATGGATCGAGCCATGGCCACCTTTTTCGCGTCCATGCATTCCGACTGGGCCAATCGGGAGACGAGCAACCTGGAGGACGTTGGAGTCGTTAGCTGGTCGGGCGGCCTCAAGGATTATCAAGTGCCGGATCGGTAATATTTGCCTTTTTTTTGTCAGTTTTTGGGTTTTTAGACTCGTCAACCCTCGTAATGCGGTAAAAGCCTGGCATGGTGTTTTCTTGCCAAGTTGGGCACTGGAAAAGGTCGAGGTTGACACGGATCACTTGTGCATTCTTTGGTGCAACCAGTTTGTCAGGTGTGTGGCTTGATATTAAAGAAAATACGTATCACCTACTTTCAGGCATGAAAGCCGGCTGCTGCAAGCATACGCTGAAAAAAGCGGCCCCGAAAAAACGGGTAGAGCGATTGTAGAGGAGTTTTACGCGAACGAAATGAAGGTAAGCTGGATCGTAATACCTGAGAACTTTGAATTTTAGGACCTCTCTGCTGCGGACGGTCCTGAAATGCCAGAAAACACTGAACGAGTGCGCAACTTTCTGTGGCCCTGGGATCATGAAAAATTTGCCTTCTCCAGCGAGGGAGGAGGAGAGGTATTTTTTATTTCGTGTTTCTTTACTGTTTCCAGACAACCGAACGAAACTTCCATTTCCTTTCCGACCTCCCTGCCACAGTGCTCCGTTTGGATTTGACATGGACGGGGCCCAGATGCAAAGGTATTGGCATTAAGAAATTCTATTATGATGAAGCTTAGGACCTAGCGAAGTGTATTTCCGTTATAAGGATGGGCTGAAGCGCCGGGCGCATATTCCGGAGAAAGGGCAGCAGGTTGGGCGTTATGACCTTGTTGTTTATAACGATGCCATCAGATGACATTCCACGTCCCGCAAACGATTTCGCTCACCGAACCGCTGGCCGGCCTGTTGCATATAAAATCGACGACGCGGTGCTCCTACAAAGCGATGCTATCCAACGACCTCGGATGGGGGATTTACATGGTATGTTGTATTTGATACGCTAGGTTTCTGAAGACCACATTGAGACGTTATATTCTCCATTTTCAGGCCATCTTGATGCATTTGACGAGCATCCCAACGGCCATCCTTGACGCCTCCCTCTTGGTCTCTTCAATTCGGCTTGCCCTTGACCGGAAACTGGCCCCAGCCACGATTTTCAAAGTTACCAACGCGTTTCTGGTGTTGAAATTGTAAGTTAATGGGGATAACAAGACTAGGAAGTGCGGGAATGATAAGTTTTATTACCTATTTTCAGAGGCATCGATTTTGCGCACGGGATGGCTTTCCGATCGGCCATCATCTACCTGAACCTCTTCATTCTGTACTTCATTTTCATCTTCGCCATCGTCGAGCCGGCCCGTAAATACGTGCATAAATGGTCGGTGCCGAGGATAAAATTCTTACACGATATTTTAGGACTTCTCGATTGTCGGGGCTCGAAAAGAACAGGGTTTTCTTGATGCTGATTTTTCTCTTGGCTCTGGCGAATCCGCACATTGCCCTGGCGACGACGGCCGTGTGGATAGCATTGGTGAGATTTCGTAAATAATTCGAAGTCTCGGCTTAGATCTCCAATTTCGGGTCCTCGCTGGTCGGTGGCCTTTCTGGGGCAGTCATACTGGGAGCTATCGGGCTGGCTGGTGGCATCAGGGATCAGATCTTTGGTGCGTTTTTTTTCCGAATCTCGATGAATTTATTGTTTTAGCCCTCGGCTTTGGCCAGCTGAACATGACGATCCCGATCCCGGTGTTCGTGCTGTTATTCCTGACGAAAACTGAGGTAAAACATGAGCTTCTACGGGGTTGACGACCATTTTAGCGTGTAAAGGAGATTTTTGCTGCCTCCCCAAATGCTTGGATGATTTTACCGGCCGCCGCCTTGTTCATGACGTTCATCTCGGAAGAGGTGGGGTTTTTTTTTTGAGGGTATTGTGTTGAATGGAATTGGGTCTACATTGTGTAAATTTTTTTGATAGTTCCGAATATGTTTTTTAAAATTGTGGAAAAACGATATTTTAAATGTAACAACGCATTTTAATGCGCAAGATTATCTTCAAAATAACGAGAAAGTGTTTGATTTAGCAATTTTTGGAAACAGGAGCTAAATTGCCGCTGAAAATTGACTTGGTCCTATTTCAAAATGAGGAAAAAAAGCACTTTTTACTATTGGCGTTCCTTGGACACCTCTGAACGTTCGTCATTCAGTTGCCCCTCGAGATTGGCGCCAGTTTCGTCACCGTCTGGATCTACCTGTCGCAGTTGGCCCAGCGTCACTCAGTTGCACCAAGTTCAGAGGTCGCTGATAACCATCGCCCCAAACAGTGGAACGACAAATACAAGAAGAACTAGTATTCCTGAACTTCAAGCCTTTTTTGTATGTATCTAACCTTAATCTATATCTGACCTGTGATATCAGCAAATTTTTGCTCCACCCAGCTTTTTGTCTTTCATACGATGCTTTTAATTAACCAAACCAAGCCATCAATTTGCTTTTCTAGTCACTTACCTCCCCCCCTTCCAAAGGATCTCTGCACCCAAAACTTTGTTGTGACATAAACGCTTCGAGTGTTTTCCGGGGCCCGGCTTCACGTGTTTTCCGGCACACTTGATGTAACGATTGTGAAACGATTTATTGACGGGTGAAAAGCGGGCTGGGAGATTCGGGGCTTTAGTTGTTGATGGCTTGCCATTTGCGGATCCACTGGGTCGGGCCGTTCGGGTCGACGTCAAGCATTGCCTGGAGATGATTGTTGTTTCGATTTTCGATGGCGATGCCGAAAATCGGGCTTGCAAATTTTAACACGGAAAAATCGGATTTCGAAATATCGCAACCCCGAAAATCGAATTCCTGAAATACCAGAAGGCGAAACATCGCTAACCAAGGTCCGAAATTATAATTTTCGGTACTCACTGTTAGGGGGGTCGCGCAGGGGAAACTCATTTTTAATCTTTCCGGCTATACCTATCGTAGATTAATAGATTAATGTATAGTCGAAAAATATTAAAATTTTGAATATTTTCCCCTTTTGATCATTTCTCGTCGATTTTTGACCAAAAAAATTTTCGACATTTAGAATTTTTTATACGCTTTTTATATCTGAAAACTGTGTAAAATACTTTAAAATGTTTTATTGTTCGTTTCTGTTTCACAGTAATCCTTCCGGCTTACTGTGAAAAATTGGTTTCTCCTGCTACCCCGCCCCCCGCTAACCGTTCAGTACCGTATCTCGGGGTCAAGATTTCGGGAAACCAGTCACCCTCATTCTTTCGTTGCTACATATTTTAGGTATCTACTTGTGAATTACAAACTTGAATCATACGACTCCGGATGAGGTTGGCCTCGTGGGCGGAACGCGCCGACGCGCCATGAACCTGATTCGACGGGCCTAAAAATCGAGATTCTGAAGTTAGTCGAACAACGACCGGGTTTCCCAGGTTACTTTTTGTACCCTGACTCATTCTGACGCATTCAAAACATCATTTTTATCTCGCGGCCCACGATCCAAGCGATCGTGGGCTTTTCCTCCCCGCCGAAAAGGGGCACTTGAGGTTGTCCCCTCCTGTAAAAAGACCGTTCCGGCTGACCGGCGGGATGAGCCGAAATGATGGGTTGGGTCAACAGCGAGTGGTAGAGGCCCCCCTAGCTGCTCTCGAGTGCCCGGCCCGGATGACTGAACTGACTGACTGAAAAGTCTCGGCGCTTCGACCGAAACTCTTGGGTTTGATCGGTTTTATTTTGGGTAGCCAGTTTCAGTTCGCTATTAACGTTTTTTCTAAACTTTAGCCGAAGTACCCTCCTCAATTTAACGGATTTGACTTTTTTTATACTTATTAGGTTTTATTAGGGTCCTTTCGCATTAGCGGGGGAAGGCGTTTAGCGGCGAATAGATTCATTTCTCAGAAAACTTAACAAAAATTTTTTTCTTCAGTAGCTAATTTTATAATATGAATAGAGTAGGTGTTTCGGCACTGTTTTTTACTATTACTAAGCCATAAAACTTTACAAATTTTTACTAAAAAATACAAAAATATAGCTTTCTAAACAATAATTGGCTTCTCGACCATGATGCCGAAGTTCTAAAACGTTTTAAAGATTTTGATTTAGTTAGTTATCTAAAAATATCTGTAAACAAAAAGCTGAAGCTAAACTAACCATCGTACGTCCAGGCAAAGAGCAGCCCCAAGATGGCGCACAGCACGAAGACGAGGCGAAGCGCGGCCATTTTTTTGCGTTGTTTACCTGAAATCTCTATTTTTTTTTTTAAGTTTTTAGCTATTAGAGCAGCACGCTTGAAAAAAAGGCGAAAAGTAGATTTGGAAATCACAAAAAAAAACAATTTAACTGAGTAGCTGACGCTTTTCTATGCGATTTAGACCATTTTTGCAGCCGCTGACGAGTTTATGTTAAGTTTAGCTCTTGTATTAATCTACAAACTACAAAATACACCCCACTACCCCGGTGAAGTGCTCACTTCTCAGCCCAAAGATCTGTCAGCACAGATGTTTGAGCACTTGGCCAAATTTCTAGGGCCCATCATCCACGGACCCTGTCTGTCCTCAAGGGTCAAAAAAACACGGCTTAACAAGCGTCGGAATTGCCCGAACGGAATTTAAGGAATAAATTACGCTATAGATGCTTTCTAATTGTGTACAGCCTAAAAAACCTTTCAAAAAACGTTTCTAAATCCAGGATCTCTAAACTTGCCGCTCACTACCTCACGCCAAAATGGAGCACCAGGCGAAAACCGTGGCGCAGCTGATGAAGGAGTCAGAAATGGTAAGTCATGGTACTCTCTGGCAAAGTCTGGCTTTTTAGATCATCTCCCAGCTGAACGAGCAGGAGATCCTGGAGTTCAAGGACGCTTTTCTGCTGTTTGACAAGGTGAGTTGAGAATTTAGGTTTTTTAGCATGGCCTATTCGCTTAGGACGGCGATGGGACAATTTCCATCGAAGAACTTGGCCCGGCGATGCGCGCCCTAGGCCAGAACCCGACCGAACAGGTTGGTCAAGCAGTTCAAGAGCAAAGTTTTAGAGCTGGTTAGGCCAATTTTTTGGTTCTATGCTGTTATCGGGGGTCGGGCTTATGAAATATCGAGCTTTTTCACATGTAAAGTTTCAAATTCAAGAACAGGCTAAATTTTTCGAAAACAATTATTTTTCGTTTTTCGATTTTTGCTAGCTGTAGGTATAGGCTAGACATCCCCCGCTAACAGAAATGAACCAATTTTTCAGCAAATGGCCGAGATCATCTACGACGTCGACATTGACGGCAACGGCCAGGTGGAATTCCCCGAGTTTTGCGTGATGATGAAGAAAATTATGAAGGTGGGTGGGGAGAAGCAGATTTTTCTGATTGACTAAAAGTCGATTGCGTCGCCAATTATTGTACCACCCTGAAATGTCGCGACAAAATTGCGGGTTTAGAAAACGTTAACCGCCGGCTTCGAGCTGTTCAGGGCTGTATAATTTGGCGGTACGACGGCAAAATGGTAATTATTAAAGCCGGACAAGATTCGGCGAGTTAGCAGTGATTCTTACAAGGGAACCACCCAAGGCCACGGGGTGGCGTTGCCAAATACGCGATCGTTGTAAATGTTTAAATCGGGCAATTTGTCGAAAATCGAAAACGCATTCGAAATAGTAAGTTTTAGGTGAGCGTGACGGACTATGAAAAAGGAAATGGGTGAAAATCTCGAAAAAAAAACTGCTTTTGATAGCGCTTTGCGGTGGGGATTTTCCGGAAGGCCATGACGGCAATGGGTGATGAACTTTGCTAGGCTTTTATAAGAGCCTTATATTGCAGCGGCCGGCGAAAAAGATCGAGAAAAATGACGGCGTGATCGCGGGATGGTAATTTGGTGGGGATAATCCCGACAAGGGCCGATGATAAATAGACGAAAATTTGTCACGATCGGCACCCTCGTCAAGGCGTAGACTCGGATTACTTACAGCGAATAAAGCTAGTTTTCAGCGGAAATCAAGTAAATTAAATGATGTTTGTTATGTGCCCCATTACAATTGCCAGAAAAAGTCATAGAAAAAATTGCTAAAAGGCATAAAATGATCCTCTAAAATTTCAATTTCATAAAAAAGCCTATTTCCAACGTCAATTTGCAGGAAACCGACTCCGAAATGATCCGCGAGGCGTTCCGCGTCTTCGACAAGGACGGCAACGGGGTCATCACGTCCAGCGAGTTCAAATACTTCATGGTAAGCGCAAAAAATGGTCCCAACTAAACAAACCCCCGATTGCATAGCACGCGCGATAAATAAGAGCAGGACATCGGTGGTGCAAGGGAGGCTGCGCACAAAGCCAATTCTCTTCCCCCATCTACGCTTGATTTTATTAAGGGGGTGGTATCGCGGGGCGAGAATTGAGTGCTGGGGAGAAGGGCCCGGGGCTAATGTCCCGCGGGCCAAGGAAAAGCTAATCGAGCATAAACTACGCGGAAATCGGTCGGATTTGCATTTTCTGGCTTACTTTAAAGGGACGGTTTTGCCTAAAAACCCTATTCTGCCCATATGCAGCTGACGCACAAGGTAAACCTGTGCACAAGTAGCGCCTCGTACCCGAATTTCGGAACGGTGACGCTTCACTGGACGCGCTCACCTTTAAAAAGGATTCACAATCTCTGAAGCTTTCCGGGGACGAAGTCTGACGCAACTTTAAACCCGAATTTTAACTTTAAAGCGATGGCTTTGCTAAAACAGAAGCTAATTGGGGAATTGCAGCTGTTGCGCAACGTAAAGCTGTGCAGAGTAGCGCCTCGTACTCGTACGCGGTGCTCCAGTGGCCAAGCTCACTGCGCTATCTGTAAACTGCACCGATTCTGGAAACTAATCGCTATGAGCTCGGGGTATAGCGTGTTAATTGGAGCAACGCGTTTCCAGAACTGAACTACGTAAGGCTACTTTCAACCTACTTCGTTCAAAGTAGCATTGCGTAGCTAGTGAGCTACACAACAACACTACTTTAGAACGCACCGATTTCATGCACGAATAGCAGTTTCGGGAGAGCGTTCGCAAAAGTGTTTTTGTTGACCCTCAATGCACTGATGCTCCAAATTTTGGCCTGACCAACGCCCCATTTGCGCGCTGCCACCTCGGGCATACCAAATAGGGGTGATCCGCCGAAAAATGACATGCGTTTGAGAAAGTTTTTCCAAAGAATTCTACCACGAGGCTAGGGTTTTTATAAGCTGGTATGCAAATGCTAGTTTACCCTAAAGTTACTAGAAGCCGGGTTTCAGGGTTACGGTAACTAGGGCGCGGATTAGGAGGTGCTTTCCCCTTGGCAGTGGACCAAATTTTTGGCTTTAGCGTCCACTTTTCTAAACTTAATTGAGAAAATGTTTCTAAATGGCTTTTTTGCGTTTCCTAAGACTTTACAAATTTCCATTAAAAAATACAAAAATATCGATTTTTCGATCAAAATGCTGATAAATATTTAACAGTTAACAAAATCACAAGGGATTATATATTTTATAAGGGATTTAGGGGATCAGAGCATATTTTATAGACAAAATAAACTATATCAGCGTTCAAACTTTATAGATAAAGATAAGAGAAAACTAGATAAATTACATACTTTATAGTAACTAGTGAATATGTGCCCTGAACTTACTGTGCCCCAATATATATCAATTGCCAGACGATGCGGAAGTTAATCTAGTGCAGATTAGGGCCCCAGCCGGGATGGGCAAGCCGAGCTTATCCTGCCTTTTATTAAAGCGGTAGCATGCTACCGTAAGACTACCGTAAGACGGACAGCGCTATAGGTATCCAAGAGTTCAATGAGCTCACAGCCACGCCGGCGCCGCCTTATGAAGTCCGGCCCGGTGACACGTAGTAATCGAATTTTCGCGGAAAACGATAATAAGCAGCGGGTCTGGAATCATGGGTCTAGCGTGTTGTAGCGGAGCTTAATGGAATAATCCGTTGACGTGGGCACCGAGGAGAGTCATTTAGCCAGAGATCCAGCTACTATTACGGTGCACGGAAGTGGATGTTGTGTGAACTTTTTAAAGGGGCTAGGAAGTTTCAACCTTGTAGCGTTGATTCCTGGCAAACAGCCAGATACGGCCGCAACGCGGCCGCGACGCAGTTCTTTAGCCCCTTTTTGAAGGCTAAACCAAGATTTCGTTCATTCGAGCGCATCACGAGATGTAATTTGCGGCGCGTTGCGTGTTGCGGGTGCTCGAAATTTCCTATAGGAACCGGCCAGCGTAGGCCATCATGCTACCTTGCTCGCTTCTTTAAAAAACGTATTCAGAGGGGATAAAACGCATGAAAATCGACTCCTTAAGTCGGCTAGGTATCGACAAGTACGTAATAGGCCGCGAAACCGCATTTAGACTCGTTCAAAAATTTCAGGACCCTGGTGTTTATTGGAAGGAAATTAGCGTCTTTAGCGGCCGAACGTAGCTGTAGAGACCTAGCGAAACCATGGGTCGATTTTGACGTTCCCTGATTTCCTTAACTAGACTGGGCAAACTTTCTAAAGGGATATGGGTGATTTGGCAAACATTGCGAACCGGATTTCGCCGGCTAGACGAATCGCCTGCGAAATATAATAGCCTGATTCACACCGGGTTTCCACCCCGATTCTAAAGCCGATGGGAAGAAAAGGATCTGCCAAAAATGCGTCATTTTCCAGAAATGAGTCGGATTTGTGGGGCAAGAAAAGAAGTGAGGCTGGCCAGCTAGCAGAGTTTTGCTTTCGGAAAGATTTGTACCAATTCCAGATCAACATGGGGATGATGTTCAGCGAGGAAGAGGTGGATGACATCCTCAAGGACGTCGATGGAAATGGTTAGTTTTGGAAAAACGCCTGGAAATTGCGCTTTTAACGTTAATACCTGGAAAAAAAAACACCAATTCCCGCCTTTTTACCAACCTTAAATGTAAAAACTTTAGAAATTTTGGATCGAAAAATCGAAAAAAAAGTCCAGTTTTCGAACAAAATTTCAAAATCTAGTTTTTAAGATATTTTTCTACTTCAAAGATTGTGAAATTTTACTCAAAACACTGACTATTGCGCTACTAGGCATCTCTGGAGATCCAGGAAAAAAATTAGGGCTCTATACCGGGAACGGGGTCCTTAAAAAAAAGCCACGAAGCCTTATTTTTAAGCACAAACTGTGTGTAAGAGAGTCGCGTAATTTAAATAGCTAATAACACAATCTGTGCAAAATCGGTGAAAATACTGTATTTTCGGGAGTTGCCGGAATCGGGGTCCTTAAAAATAGCATCTATTTTAAGGACCCCTGTCGGGACAGGGGTCCTTAACCTGAAATTCTAAGGACCCTTATCTTTTTTTAAGGACCCTTGTTTTTTTAAGGACCCTTATTTTTTTTAAGGACCCCGTTACCGGTATAGAACCAAAATTAGCCCCCCCCCCCCCCCCAAACCGTTAGTAAATCCCAGAAATTTTTCATTTCCCAGGAAACGGCGAGATCGACTACGAGGAGTTCGTGCAGATGATGGGCGAATTCTAAACCGCGCGCCCAGCGCTACCGTATTGCCCTTGGATCTCCTGGAAACAATGGTGTCTGTGCCTGTACTTGACGTGTATCATAGCGTATTCGCGATAAACGGTTTATTTCGATCGCAAATCGGCAGTTTAGTGCTTTGAGGGATGGGCGTAGGTGCTGAAAATGAATAAAGTTACTGGTCGTGTACATTAAATTATACAAGACGCCTGCAAAAGTGGAAAAATGTTTTTAAGATGGTTTAAGTTTGATTTAAGGCAGCCAAAGTTTAAGGAAACAAGCAATCAGCGTTAGAACCATATTTAAACCTAAAAACTAACCGCTCCTCATCCGGCTTATCCTCCTCCTTTGTCGGCGTGTAATCGACGATGCGATACTCTGGGCGACGGATGAACGTATCCCGCTGAGGACATGGACAATATGCCGCATCGACGCCAGGCATTCCAGGGCTTCCGTCTTCTCCATCCTCACCGTCAACCCCACGCAGTCCAGGCTTCCCGGGGAATCCGGCAGGTCCCGGCATTCCGTCCGCACCTATAAACGATAAACCAGCTTACTTCAAAGTCAAATTCACCCACCTTCTTCAGCCTTTCCAAGCGGTCCAGGCGGGCCGGGAGGCCCTTGCTCCCCGCATCGACCTGGGACTCCGCGGGGGCCCTTGCGATATCGCACTCCTTGCTGTCCGTAGGCTCCCGGCAATCCTGGGTGACCCTCAGGGCCCGTATCACCTCGATCACCACCGGGTCCTGGCTGTCCTGGGCGGCCGGATTTTCCGGGGTTCCCGGCGAATCCAGGCATTCCTGAAAGTAGCAGCTCAAAGTTATACCTACTTACATACCTTTTGGACCGGGCATTCCGGGTAGTCCAGACGGTCCGGGGGGTCCGGGCGGGCCGGCCGGACAATCGATACATCCACCCGGAGCGTTGTACTCAAGCGACATGCCGGGCCGGCCTGCGGGACCCCGGATTCCGGGCTCTCCGTGGGCTCCAGGGTGTCCGTCCTGGCCGGGAGGACCCGGAGGGCCGGGCGGGCATTGCGATGGCAGGATGCATTCTGGAAATTCGTTGTGATTATTTTACACCCAAGTTAGTTTTATGAAATTGGATCTGAAAGGAAAAATTACGCGATTCATTATGATTCCGGGCATTCTCTTCATATCGGCCCCTTTTAAATTTGTAACTTTCTAAATGTTCTTTTAGTTTTACTTAGATTAATTCTTTAATTTTAATAAAGCGCTATTTTTGTGCGTTTAGTGAATTTCAACTATATGTTCTCGAAAAACTTTCAAAATAGCTAGAAAAAAAACTTGAAAAACTCATGATTTTCGTCATTTTTCGCCAAAAAATGCTTTTCTCCACAAATTAATTTCTTGATAAAATCTTTCAAGTTTATGTTCTCAGAAATATCAATAGCCACTCATCTTCATCCCTCTAAAAACCTACGACACTGGCTGGGCACGTCCTTCCGGAAGCGGTGCAGCACGGACCGCATCGGGCCATCCTTGGCCGCGCTGCGCCCATCGCGCTTGTAGGGCGCCGCGTTCTCGAGCTGTACGAGCACGGTCCAGGCATCGTCCGAGGAAGTCTGTAACGGAGGCGGTGTTTAACTTCTCGGTGCTGCCTACCTTTAACGTGCCCATTTCAAACATGCTGTCCTCGTGGAACTCTTTGATGTCGCTCATAATGCTGTTGGCAAAGCCCTAAAGCATGCTTGAGGATTATGATGGCTCAAAAATCGCGGGGCTAGCCATTTGCTTGTGTTCAAATTTCTGCAGTTTTCTTTCTGCGCTAGTTTTTGACCTATGGCCCCGAAATGAGCTTGACACCTCTAAACTTTCGTTTCCATCTCACCAAGCAGAAACATATGGCCAGCGTGGAGATGGTTATCGAGGCATAAGTGGCTATTGTGGCCCCGTCGGCCATCGCTGAAAATGAAATGTACGAAAATTAACTTCAAAAATATAACGTAAAGTAAAAAAAAGAGAGAACATCGGCTAAGAAGCCGAGGGGAACGGCACCGAAATTGAAATGTCATCCCACAGCGCCTGTGGGGTGGCGGACACCAACGAAAAAGCGGCTAAAAAAACTGAAGCTGCCCTTGGCATCGGCTGCTCCTCCCCAGAAGGGGTTCCCATTAGGGCGTGACGGGCGCGAGGTGTCTGTGCAAATGGAAGGGCGCGGCTTGGGGGATGAAACTCGGGGCGCAGAAGGAGGAGGAGGAGGTAGAGGAGGACAAATGCGGCGAGATGGCAGACGTGGGCGAATACCGGTCGCCCTGATGGAACCGAGGTACCCTTTCGTGAGGGAAGAGCCACACAAAAAACCGCAGCAACCCCCTTTGTCTCGACCGGGGAGTGGAAGCTGGGAACCGTGAGCCCCGCTGAGTTGCTGAGGAGATTCTGGGAAAGAAGATGAAATAGGGAAATTGCTGAGATTGCTATTACATCTTTAACTGATTCAACAACCCAAATTTTCAAAATCTCGACGTAAAGAAAAGCCAGGTAAAGGATGATCAAAACTAAAAAGTTTTTAGGCGGATCCAAGTCGTTTCACCAATGTTGGCCGGTAGCGACCGTTGCAGAACGCCGAATCCCTCTGATCTGGCCAAAAATTTTTCGCCCTATTTTGGTCATAACGTTTGTAGAACGGCTTTGCATTTATATAATCATCATATCGAGAAACTTCGTTTTTTCGTAAGTTTATAAACTTTCTAAATAATTTTTAAATTCATTCGAAGAATTTTTACTTGACAAAGCCTTTTGCTGAAAATTCGTATAACCGCTTCAGACAACGCCACCGAACAGTCCGCGTCAAATATGTGGAATACGTAGCATACTACTGTAGAACGCGATAGTACAGCATCGGTCATTTATTTGCTTTTTTTGGTCCTTTTTCTTCCATACCTGTACCCTTTATGCGAAAAAACTATATTACTTTTTCAGGTGAGCGGCGGTTGTTGCGCTCGACAATGAGCGCTGCCCCGGCCATTTCGAAGGACTTCATGGTCGCGAACAAGTACAAGCTCATCCGCAAGATCGGTTCCGGCTCCTTTGGCGACATCTACGCGGGCATCAATGTGTCAAATGGCGAGGAGGTGGCCTGCAAGTTGGAGTATACCAGCGCCCGTCACCCGCAGCTTCTCTACGAGTCCAAGGTCTACAAGATACTCCAAGGCGGCGTCGGCATCCCGCACATCCGATATTATGGCGTCGAGGGACAGCACAACTGCCTCGTCATGGACCTTCTTGGCCCATCGCTTGAAGACCTGTTCAACTTCTGCAGCCGTCGCTTCACGATGAAAACTGTCCTGATGCTCGCGGATCAAATGATCGGCCGCATCGAATACGTGCACGTCAAGAACTTTATTCACCGCGACATCAAGCCCGACAACTTCTTGATGGGCATAGGACGGCACTGCAATAAGCTTTTCATCATTGATCTCGGCCTCGCGAAGAAATATCGTGACACTCGTACCCGCTGTCACATTGGATACCGTGAGGACAAGAGCTTGACGGGAACCGCTCGCTATGCGTCCATCAATGCTCACCTCGGCATCGAGCAAAGCCGCCGAGACGACATGGAGTCGTTGGGCTACGTGCTGATGTACTTCAACCGTGGAACCCTACCATGGCAAGGACTTAAAGCAGCGAATAAGAAGCAGAAGTATGACAAGATCTCTGAAAAGAAAATGTCGACTCCGGTGGAATCCTTGTGCAAGGGATTTCCTGCCGAGTTCGCGATGTATCTGAACTACTGCCGTGGACTTCGTTTCGATGAGGCCCCCGATTACATGTATCTCCGGCAGTTGTTCCGCATCCTCTTCCGGACGTTGAACCACCAATACGACTACACGTTTGACTGGACCGTGATCAAGCAGAAGCAACAGGCTCGGGAGAGCGCTGCTCAGCGCGCTCCGCAGATGGCATCCGGACCTGGACCAAGCGCATAAGCCGAACCCTTTGCCTATGATATTTATTTTCAAACTCATTTGGGAAGCCGTATTTGTGATTGGTTCAGGAATTTTGTACATCATATTCTACGACTTTTTTGTTTAGAACTGAAGCATTGGCGAATAAAATGAATAACAGGGAAATTGCCATTGTTACCATCAGCATTGCGCAAAAGGCAACATATTCTTACCGAGATTGCATACCCACAGTGATGACAAGTCTTTTGTTCAGCTGCTCGCGCTTCAAATTGGTTTCGCGGTGTGGCAACGCTCAAAATACGCGTTGTCCATCGGCACTCAGCATCCTCACACAGATCGGGTTTCAGCTGGGCTACTCCCGTAGGGCCTCCCTGGGGCATTTGCGAAAACACCTTGGGTCCATTCCCCATCGGCTTGTATTTATTTAGCATTGGCTTTTTGGGGAAGTAGCAGCTGGGGAAATTCTTCACTTCCCGCGCCTCCAAAACACACAGAATTATCATAAGTAAACAATCGTGCGGGTCTCGCACCTAGCAGGAACCGGTGATGGCCAGGGATAGGGCTACAGTTTTTCCAGATTTTCTTGATGTCTCTGTGGCAATTCTTTTCAGTTTACTCGTAGTCTAGTAGACCCACATTTTTGCGTCTGAACTAAAACTCTAAACTGATGTGACGCTGCGCGTAAAGCCGTTATTCATCGGCAATGCTGTGCGCTTTTTTGGTCGAATTCCACGCTGCTGTGATGTTTTGTCTCGAAACGGCGCCATAACTTTGACTAAACTGCAGCGGCGCAAAAACATTGCCACATTGCCTTTCGATTCGCAAAAATCTTAACAGACGCTCTCGGTCGGCTGCTTAGATTATGATAGTGTCGGGGGGAAAAGTGTGGCGCGTGGGCTCAGGTCGACAGGGTGGCTTTTGGGAGCGAAGAGGGTGGCAAGGCCGTTTAGAACTGGTCTGGGGAGAGGCGAGGGTGCTGCCCTCTTGTCCAGTCTTGTCCTGCGCCCCGCCGCTTCCTCGCACTTATGCTCCATATCATACGGTCCAGGGCCGACTATCGATCAAAATTTGGCACTTTAATCTAATTTCACAATTATATTTTTCAAAATCGTTGTTTTGAGCGCTGGAGAGCCTTGTGCTCGAGCCCAAATGCTAACTGATCCCTAGTGACGGTTTTATTATTTGCTTCCTGACGACATTCTCCAAATTTAGCAATCTATGAATATTGTTTGCATTATCGCTAGTAGGGGGGAGGGGGTTCTAATGGGCTTTTGCCTTTGAAAGCGCCTTGAACTTCCAACATTGTACTCATTAGAGGGAGCGGGTTAACGGGTAATATGAACCGGATGGAGGGCATTGATGTTGGGTTGTGACCAGCCGGGGGAGCCTGGGTCACCTGCCGCTCACAATCAGCCATGGGCCGTCTCGCAAAACGGTGTAAGGACCGCCATTCAGCACACGCATCTGCTTCGCGCTTGACCGGCAAATTTCTAGCTATTATTGATGAGGGGGCGCGCGTTGCCAGCCACGTCCTGTTTGATTTCGGCTAATGAAAGTACATATCTACTTCATGCGCTTGTTAATTCAATCTTAAACTTAATACGTTTTGCTGGCTGGCGTCCAAATTCCCGGCTCGGCTCCGGGACAAATCCTTTTTAGGTAGTGTGCGTTGCAGTGCCTAGACGGGCGTCTATTTGCTTGATTGTGTGTGCGCGTGTGTGGTGGCCGAATTTGGGTGTGGGCCGAGGGCCGCCTGCTGGACACTGTCTTGAAACTCGCCACGCACGCTCACATTGATCGCCCCCACAAACACACCCATCTCTACACGCCCGCACCTCAACGGTTCGCCGCGCGCTTTTCGCGCTTTACGTCTCCGTTTGTTAGTCGGTGTTCCTCGTCGGAATTACCACAGCGAGCTACGAGTACTCAATTTCGGCCTATTTTTATCAACGACTCGTTTGAGATAATTAGGGATCTCTAGGAACTTTCGAAGCATCCATTGTGCTTTATTGTTATAAATAAAATTCAATGCGTTGGTAACTGTGACCTCCGTATTCCAGCGCTTCTCGTGCGCTGTGCGGTCAACCTTGCCCTGATTGCAGGGGCTGAGACCGCCTTTCTCACGCCCATAGAGCAGCATCTTCCTTCTCAAGATCGTTTTTGGGTTCTTATGCGCTCCGAAACGACATTTTTTTCTCCTCGCTTAGAAAAACGCCATGTGTTTCATTTTTGGCCATCGAAAGAACTTGTTTATGCGGAGATTTTGGGGCGAAGCCCATTATGAGCACACTTGCAATCGTCTTGGCGCCCGTTCAAAGAATTTACACGTTGCCTTTGATGCGGTCTATATAACCAGTATTCCCCTTCTATTGTTTCTTATTTCAAAATTGGCGTGCTCTCAACATTACCATTTTCAGTTAGGGTAGGAGGGCGCTGTTAGGCGCTCCTTATATGAAAACCGAAGATGAGTGTACTCAGGGATATTCTGGAAAAGGTGATAATGATGACGTGCCGCAAAACTTTTCTTTATAGGGCTATGTGGATCCGGAAATCCTGGAAGCCCTAGATGAAGAACAAAAACAAATGCTTTTTATCCAGGTAACTCTTTCGTTATTTTCTCACGACCAGTTTAGATGCGCCAAGAGCAAATGCGAAAATTTGCTGCTTACGAAGAAATGCTTGAGCGCAAGGGCTTGCCGGCGAGGCGCCCCAAAAAGAAGGCCGTCAGGTTGGTTACACCCTTATTCAACCATCATTCGATAGATGGCGAACCGGAACTGACGGAGACGTCTGGGTATGGGTTATGGGCGATCACCCTGATGACAAGACCATTGAACAGATTTTAGAAGAGGTACGTGATTATTTTTCCCTTTGATTCGCTTTTACAGGAAGCACGGCGCGAAGCGAGAGTTCGCGCGCTGCAAGAGCTGGAGCATGAGCACGAAGCTAGTAACAGTATGGAGGAAGCCTTGAAGGCGCAACTTGGCAGTCTGAGGGTCGGCGCTACGGTATGTTTTTCAAATATTTGGAAAATGTGCAATCCTCAGGGTGGCTCAATTTATGAAGAAAGCGACAACAGCTGGGAGGACCAAATCAACGGCAAGCCACCGTTGCTACTTCAACCGCAAACACATGCATCAGTGGTTGGTATTTGATTTTCGAAAAAAATATCCGGTCAGGGTCTTCATATTCGCAACTTCGAGAACAATCAGGCGAATCGCAACACGCCTCCGCAAAAAACGTCGCCAATTCCGAAGCAAAATGGGATTGGTAATGGCGGGCTGACGGCCTCACCACAGAAAGCCGTCGTCACTACATTCAGCACGCCGACTCCACAAGTTGCTGTCATTGGTGCGAAGGGTTGGCTTGAATTTCTGGCCAGTTAAATTTACTTCAGGAACGACGCGCGTCGATCGAGGCCCTCCTCCACCCGTCCCGGCCAGGCCGCCACAGTTCCCATCCGTTACAAAGCCGCCGGCGACTCAGAATGTGCAGGTAATCATTTAAATTCTGGTTTGCAGCTCAATTTTTACTTTAGCCCTTGCCCGTTGCTACCCCGGAAATCCTCGATTTGACCCTACGAACTGCAGAGCAGCAAAACGGGCTTGGTATGCGGTGGTTTAGATTTTTGATTTATTCTGTATTTAGGAGTCAAAATGCGTCAGCAGAAAAACTCCAGCGAAGAAAGTACTCAAGAGGTCCATAAACGAGAATCGGAAATCTTTCAGGTCGGTCGATATCGTGCCTGCTAAAATTCCTTTTTAGACGATCCAGGATAAAAGGGAACAGCTACGTAAGGACGCCGAAATCGAAGCGGAACGCGAAAAGCTTGCCTGGGAGGAACAAGGTTCGCAAAGGATTATGTTCTCCAAGTTTTTTGTAGAAAAACGATCACGTGAGGCGGAAGCTACGATCAAGGCCATCGCGCAGAAAGCGAGGGAGCAGCACCGTCAGCTACTCCGCACCTCAACGTCCATCTTGCCTGCGCTGGCCGATACCAACGCGACAAGTCTTCGCGAGGCTATGTTAGTTAATTTTCAGATTTGTGGTTTTCTTCCATAGGGCTTTAGTTCTTATCCGGCAAGATTGAGAATTTCAGCAAAAACTTACCTCGACCGCCAAGGCCAAAAAATCGTGACGAGATCATCTCATGGTTCAAAAAGAACGAGCTTGGGCGGGGGACCGGCTTCGATCCCAAGACTGGACTCCCTGCTCCATGGTTTCATGGTTCGTTGCTTGGCTCCTGGTTGACCAGACGTTTAGGCATCATTTCCCGTGACGCTGCCGAGCAGCTGTTGGTCGAGAAACCGACCGGCTCGTTCTTGGTCCGTGTCTCGGAGCGAATTTGGGGGTGAGCGCTTAGATGGTCATAAATTCATCCTCTCGTAGATATACCGTCTCTTACGTGGTGGGCAACGGCTCTTGCAAGCATTTCCTGATCGAACGGATAGAGCAAGGCTACCAATTTTTGGGCACCAACCAAATCGTCCACGATTCGCTCTTCGACCTGATCATCTATCACGAGGTGCGTGTTGTTTATTGTTTTCTTTTTGTTTTGCTTCAAACGACTTTCATGCCATCGGTTATATTCGGGATTTATTTAGAAGATATTTTTTACCATCAGCTGCAGTTGATAAACCATTTTTTTCAGTCGGCCCCGATAACTGCGAAGGGAGGCGAGATCCTGAAATGGTCCGTGGGCCAAACAACTCGTCCATTCGACTATGCTGACCTGCTTCCCGAAACGACGAACAACAATGGCGTCCGCAAGCTGAATGGTCGTTTCTAGACCTCCGATTTCACCCACTTGTAACATCTAATCCCGATTTCTGCTCATTCATCCATTGGTAATTCCTCATTTTATCTGTTGCTTTGTGTCCATCACTTCCGTTTCACCATAGCCTATATCCCCCGTCCACTAGTCGTGTGTTTGATGATACGGGTTGTCCGCCTCAACATTTTCAGTTCCAACATCACTTACAAATTGGGGACCTGTCCTCCATGTGCCTTGGCCCCCCTACACACTTCTTTGTTTCTGTACAATGGCGCTTGTGTATTTCAAAGCCAAAGATTATCGCATATTAACGTTTCCCCGGGGTGCTATAATAATCTAGGATCAGACGTTTTGGTGTATACTTTAAAAGTGACTTCTTCCCGACGTCGCCAACGTGTGCTTTACCGAAAACCGCCCATTTCGTCTGACCTCCACCAGTTTCCCGCTACTTGCCAATGAAAGCCTGCTTTAACTCAACCCGGCTCACCCGAACCCCCAGTTACACTGAATGTGAGGACTAGCCGCACTCCTCCTCCCTTGAATCAGTTCCCCCCATTTTTCTGACGTTATTTATTTATTTTCGATGTACCCGTTCTCCCATTAACGTCCCCCTGTGCCTTAGCCGAGCTCAACACGTCGACAATAAGTTATTCACTGGCAGGACGGCGCCTAACGGCCCGGCCGATCATGTATGCAAGTGAGTCTCCTGTGATTAATGATAAAAATTGTAATGATTTCTGTATCTATGCACTGGATTCCGAATAGCGGCACATGTTTTTTAGCGATATAGAGTTCGGGCCTGCTTCAGCGCTTTCGAAAAACTTCCAGCAACAGGCAAAGATGCGAATAGGGAAACTCTGACCCGAAAAATTACAATGTTGCAGGCTAATGTTAAATGAGCGGTGACTTCTTCCCTCACCTGAACGCCGTGTTGTTGAGTGGATTGCAAGCACTCAAAGTTGGCGGCGATGCCAGGGATTCATTACGATTGTCTGCCATTTTATTGAACGGTAGGGGATCGTACCCGAATGATGTCAACCCGGTTCAGAGGGCCTATCTTTGGCGGCGATCGAGCAGCAGGAGAAAGATGTGGCCAGGCTTGCGACTGCTTCAGCGCTTCGGGTATGCCCTGAACTTTAATGTCATTAACAAAAATTAGGTCATCTTCGAGCAGTCCGTGGCCCACCAGAAGCTGGCCAACATCTATGACGAGTACGCCAAAGTGTTGTCCAGCATCCTGATCGAAAAAGAGGTTCGTAGTCTGGAAATCTTCAGCGAGTTCTTGATTTAGCGACCCATTTTCGAATGGAAGCATATGAAGCCATTTTTCGCGGCCGTTCTATACATGTTGGACCTCAACGATGTGCGAATGGAGCTTCTTTTTGGTCCTCTGAAGGAATTGATGGCTTATTGTCACGCCAACGATATTTTAAGAAAAGGTTGGTTCTCTTGCTGTTAAAAATATTCTGCTCAGAGCTCTACTCGGATGCTTTTTTGCCGGCCATCGGGAAACTCGTGTCGTCGCTGCTCTCTATGATCTCGTCTGATCGACTGAGTAATTCATCGAGGTCGATTGTTGCTTGTTTTTATATGATGAGTATATTTTAGGATCGATGCTTTATTGTTACTACAGCGAGTATTGGCGGAATCTCCCGTTGAGACCGTCGCAATGTTTTTGCCCGGCACATTGATGAAGTTGACCGAGCTGATGCGCCTATCGAGTCTGGCGGCAGGAATTTTGTGTAACTGTACCAGAGTAAGCATTCTTTGTGCTTTGTCATTTTGTTTTCAGGCGTATTCACTGACAATCACTAGAGCGTTGAGCAACAAAGAATGGGAAACTGTGGCTGGTGACGATGAGGCTGTGGCGAGCGCAAGGTTTGTCTCATGTCAACGTCCAGAGTGAATTTCTTTACAGCTCCGCTTCGGTATCAAAGCCGAACGCTAAGGAAGTGAAGGATTTGCAAGTCAAACGAGACAAGAAATGGTTTACGGAGACCGCGGAGAAAGTTAGAACTTTGGTACGTTTTGATATGCCAAACTTTTGAAGTTCCTTAGATATGCCTTTCCTGCCCAGTACTTGCCAGCCATGAATCGGAACTAGTGCGAGGCGAATTATTGACGTTCCTTGATGAGTTGAGACATGCTGAGAAGCCATTTGGTGACTCTCTGCTTCGGCTACACGTGGATATCGGCTCGATTTTGTTGTCTGATTCGTCAACTAGGTAAGAAAGTTGCTGGGAAAAGCTCCGTCATCATGTGTTCGATTCTACGTTTGAATCAATTTAATGATTGGTTTTAGCGTTCAAAATCAAGCGCGCGGCTTCCTTGACAGCGTCCAAGCGCGTCACGAAATTGCCTATTCTGCATATGTGTATGAGCTCCTCAAAAAGGTAAAGTTTTCATTTTTAGGAGCTATTTTTCAGATCCAATGCGAACTCACTGCGGCTTCTAACGGCGAGGAAAATGGCGCAAGTCCGGGAGCGCCCGATGCCAATTTTATGGTTAACCCGAGGCTTTTAGACCAGGTAATCATTGATTTCCAGTCAACGAGTTGTACCTTTCAGGTGCTGTCGCTTATTCGCATCCTACCCGACCTCCGCGTCCTTTGCTTTTCCGGCGCCTTTCGTGGCTTCCTGCAAGCGATTTTCTCGCTGATTGCTGTCGATACTGCGCGTCTGCCTGTCGTGTCATGCGAGATTGACAATTTGCAAGGTATGGTCGAATATTTATTAAAAATACCCTTTATTCCCTTAAATACGGCCTAATAAGTTACGAACGCAATAATTATCGATGCAACTGAATCACTCGGCTTCGGGATGTTTAGTAGTGTTCGTGGGAGTCGGAGTTCTAAAATCGGATATAGAATTGGTTGGATTGGCAGGGGAAATTTTTGCTTATCTTGGGACCCACGACATTGGTTTCCTCGAACTTCGGGACTTCCTCGACGACCTTGGCAACCTCTTGCTCGGCGGAGACGACAGCGGACTTCTCCTCGGCCGATGGGACGAAGGTGATCTGGGGCAGGGCCGACTCGCGCTGGGCCTTCTCGATCTGGTCGGCGAGCTTGATCTTCAGGTTCTGGAGGGCACGCCTCTTGCGTCCTCCGCCGCAGCCGCAGCATCCACATCCGCAGCCGCAGCAGCTAAAGTGGAATCAAGATATTGCCTATGTTTTTGTTGCTGCTCACCATGGTCGGCAGCAGCAGCAACGGCAGCATTTGCAGCAGGTGCAGCATTGGCAGCACTTGCAGCAGCGGCAGCAGCAGCATTTTCTAGAGAGGGGATTAGGTTTTTGGTTGAGTGTTCTGGCTCACGGCCGGCAACAGCAGCAGCAGGGCCGGCAACAGCAGCAGGGGCGGCAGCAGCAACAGCAAGGTCTGCAGCAGCAGCAACCACATCCGCATCCGTTCCTCTTCAGTCGCACGCCAGTCTCGTCGGTCTCGGTGAGAGTATCGATGGCGGTGGAGCTCTAGAAGGCGCGAAATGAATTTTTAGATGATTATGACCAGACATGGCAATCCCGGCCGGCCCAGCCGCCCGGCCGAGCCGCCGGCCTAATTTCCATAAAAACCCGGCCCCCTACGAGCCGCGTTAATGACTTACTTCCGGAAACCCGGCTTCCCGGCCCAGCCGGCTTTTTGTTGCGGCTCGGCCAAGCCGGTCCGGCCGAGCCGGGAAACCGGAAGTTGTTCATTTACATGAGAAATGGTGAATCCTATGCAAAATTGTGCATGGAAATGACAAAGTTTCTATGGTGGAATAGTTTTTCCCTCGCGATAAAGCTAATTATTGATTGAATCCGCGATTTGCGTACCGGAAACGCGAAAATCTCATTTGGGTCCGGCTTTCCGGCTTTTCAAAAGCCGGCGGCTTGGCCGGGGCTCCGGCCTCAGAACATGAAAAAGCCGGGGCCGGACCGGAAGCCCCGGCCAAGCCGTGCGGCTCGGCCGCATGCTAATTTTTCCGGCCGAAAAAAGCCGGCGGCCCGGCCGTTTGCCATGTCTGATTATGACTATTTATCTGCCGCGCAATTTGTGTTTTTAGTTGTAGAAATTGGTGGAAGCGTTTTGAAGGTATTTGGAAAGAAGAAAGAACTTACAGTAAGCGCCAATTCGGTGGTCGTCTCAGCATTTTCGTCCCGAAGCGCGATGGCAGTGGGGGCCGCCTAAATGTTATTTTTTCAATCGCTGTATACAGGTTTTTATAGAAATAAAATCGGCCCTCAAATTTGATAAAAGGAATATTCAATCGTTCTTTGGCTCTAGAGTTTAGAGAGTTTTTGGGGCTAAAGTTAGCCTTCGATATAATAAAGCGGTACCTGAATATTGTGCACCAGGGCCAGCACCAAAAACAGGCCGCTGGAGAGGAGGAGGCGCTGAACGGGGCTCATTCTTGCGAATTGGTGGATGGCTGGAATGCTGATGGTATCACGGCATCCACCGATGCCTAAATACTCGGGCGGGGATGGGTCGAGGGCGCGGCGCGGAAGGCGCGACACCTGCCAACGCGTGACCCCGGGCCGCTGACATCCGCACGCGCACCCGCGCCCGGGCTTGTACGCAACATTTCGGGCGATCAGTGAACCCATCGCGTCTGGGAATCTTGGCGTACCCAGAGAGCGGCCGTCTGGGATGGGTGGTTGACCTGCTAGAATACGGTGCTTGGGAAGTAGTGGTTTTCTGTGCTAATAACTGTTTTAAACTACCAGATTTCGTTGACGAACTCTCGAAAAACTGCTTTTTATTAAAAACAAATAAAAAGCCTTTATTCTCGCTCCTTTCCAACAGCTTTCCATGGTGTAAAAATAACCCCAACCCGTGGTTTCTCCGGACCTAAAGAAAAGCTTGTTTTTCTGACGCCCTGTAGTTAGAAAAAAATATGAGGCTTTTGAAATTATAGCCCTCTTTCAGCATTCCTCCGTACACTTCCACTAAAACACGGCATCACCCTGCAATGGCTTCACCAATTTTGCGGCGAACTTTTAACCCGCGAGGCCGAAGAGGTTAAAGTTCAACTACCGCGTTACTACTACCTTTTTAGGTACTCATCCTTCTATCGACGATGATCAACGATACTTCGGCTAGCGAGCAGACCGGCATCACGCTTTTTATGTGCACTGTCGGCTTTCAAGTTCAGGTGAGCGGATTTTATCCAAAATACCGGCCTGGTAGCTAAACTAAAACTAAGTTAAATCGTTTCAGCAGCTCCACATCGAAGGCCAGGACGACAAACTGGCCATGTGCGCAGAAACGGTGCAGCATTGGTTGGACCGCCGGGAGCTGATTGAAGCCCAGCTCGACGTGCATGGTCTAAAAGGTCTAAAAGGTAAGGACCCTTCTTGAACTCAAGCATTCCGTCCAGATATCGCAATGACCAACTCGCGACCCGTCGCTTCGTACGTAGCCCAACTGGCGGCATTCGGGACATTGGTGGCAGCGATTGGGGATGTACATCGACGGGATACGGTAGTTTTACATTTAAAAAATTAATTTATTCATGTTTCCAGCTCCTGTCCCGCTCGTTCAGCTCGCTACTGCTTGCCACAAATGTGCAGAATATTGTTGTTTCGACGGCCGCCGACTTGGCGATGGCTCATATAGCCGAAGTGAGAACAATCTTTCTTGCAAAATGTATATTTAGGCCTACGGTCAGTCCGTTGCAACACTGCTCCAAGCCAGGGCTGCATTAGTCGTAAACAGGCAGAAAATAATTTCGGGAACTTACCTTTTTTAGTATGTGGCTCTGGGACTCGAACGTCCTCTCAGCAGCCGCCCCTCGTCTCTTCACGGCCATCGTCTCCAAAACGAACGACCCGGCCATGTATCTGGAGACGAAGCGGGTAGCCATCCAACTGCTGAAGACGCTCGACAAGTACAACGAGGTCAGCAGCTCAAAACTACTGAACACCGTTTTTAGGAATTTTCCTACGCAATCCTCTGCTCATTGTCAACGTATGTTGAAGCGCTGGAACGGTGGTTCCCTGAACCTCGGGCAAATGAGGATGAAGCCCAAACGCCCAGTTCTAAGTGATTTATTTTGGCAATAACTAAATAACCATATTTAGCGACGAGCCAATGGAACTTCCAGACGACGTAGTGAAAATGAGCCTAGATGATGAGATGCCGGATTTCAAGAAAATTCCCCCACCCTACCATGTGAAGCTCACGGAGGAGATTTTGCAAAGGTAGGTTTCTTGACGTCATGAAGCACCCTTTTCTTGCAGAACAGCAACGCTACTTTCCTCTGACCACTTCCACGTCCGCGTCAGGTGTCTTCGACTGCTTACGGCATCGCTAAAGGTTGTGGCCGGTTGCGATGATGTTTTGCTGCCAATGGTTTTAATCCGCTCCTCGTTGTAACCCTGTTTTTAGGTCCATCAGAACTGGGCGGCACTGAAGAACCGTTTGGTCGACGATAATCTGAACGTGCGGATAGAGGCGGTCAAGGTATTTATAATACTGTGTACTATATCAATTTGTTCTAGGCCCTGAAAATCTACTGTCTTACTGCCAAATCGTTTGTGTATCGACGCGTGTCCGAGGGCGGGTGGCCAAGGTTGACTAGGTATCCTTAGTGGCTTGCTAGTCAATTAAATTTCCAGCTGGGCCGAGAAACAATTGGGCCGATCGCAATACACGCAATCCGAGACGTATCGCCTCCTCTACGTCATCCTTGACAGGTACCATGGCAATTTTATCGTCGTTTTTGTCGCGCTTGGAATTGTTGCGATAGCGTTCCTTTTGGCATATATGACCGTTCACTTTATAGCTCGTACCCGATATGGCGCGCCATCGGCTATCGAGCCGAACATGACGCCCCGGCCGTGCTTCCCTTCTTGCGAAAAGTTGCGGCCTGTAGTCAGGTTTGGTGATTTACCGTTTAGTTATTCTAGTTTTAGTGCCCTCTCGAAGCCCGTCGAACAGCCGAAGAATCTCTCGAAGCCATCTCCAAAATTACGAGTAGCACTGACTGACCTCTCGCCCCTCCCCCCCCCCCTGTACGTTGTGAACTTCTTACCGGTTACCCAGATAAATCTTTGAAAAGATTTTTTGTTCCCTAATGAAACGGAGGCTCCATAACTTTCTATGCGATTATTTTGTACTTTCCTGATATTTAAGACATACTTAAAGATGAGTGTTTTCGAGAAGGTTTTGCCATACTTTTTCGCGGGTACCGTCGTGCGCGGGTTCGGCCGTGGCGGCAAAGAACTGGGCTGCCCAACGGGTCAGTTATGGCAAAAATGCGTTTTTCTGACCTATGACGAATACGAAAAGCCGAAATTTAGCGAATGTCGACGATGAGGCCGTCAGCAAACTCCCGAAGGGCATTGAGCACGATGTCTACTACGGACTCGCCAGGATCGATAATGGCCAAGTCCACGACATGGTGATGAGCATCGGCACAAACCCGCAATACAACAACGAGAAGCTTACGATCGTATGGCCCAGCCTTCCGAAATCATTTGTCTTTCAGGAGGTCCATCTACTCGCTCAGTTCCCCTCGCAATTCTACGGGTCTCGCATTGACGGTTTGATTCTCGGCCACATCCGGCCGGTGCGCAAATTCGAATCACTTGGTAGGGAATTGCAAATACGCGGAAAACCGGGCATGTGTTCAGACGGGCTGATGAAGGCAATTCAGGACGACATCGCTTTCGCGAAAGAAAAGTTGAAAAGCATCGATCGCACCGCCCTCGTTGCTCAATATTTTGTATAACCAATATGTTAGTCCTTATCTTTATAAGTGTGAGAAATTCATTGTAAAATTAACTGGGTCCCACTCATAACCCAAAACTAACAGGTTGTGATCATCGTGCATAATAATTCTTCATTGACATAATAAAAATTTATTCCGTGCAAAGCAGACCAACCTTGACCACATGAGGATCTAACGACGATTGATAATACTGACTCGACTAAACAGAAACAAAAACCAATTTCATGTTTCACAGGAAAAATTTAAGGCAGTCAGGCGTAGGGAGGAATTGTGTCGAACAAAGGAAAGAATTAATGCGCAAAGTTACGTAATGATATGGCGACAGTCGATCTTGTGACGAGCTTTGGCCTCATCATCGAAGGTTGTAGGGCCGGACACCCTGGAAAGACGGATTGAACGAGGGCATGGACATTTGAAGATAGAAGAAATATAAAAGTTACCTAGACGGTGCCGGCCGACCCTGGAAAGGGCTCATGGGTGCCGGTGCTGCCGCCGAGGAAGGTATGCGACTCGACGCCGCCATGACCATAGCCGCGCGGGCCGAACAGGGCGCCATAGCAGCGGTTGCAGTACGGACGGCCTTCATGCTGAAAATAAGAATAGATTGAATCCAGGTAGGCTGATCAGCAAGCAAAAACCAAAAAAACCAAACCTCAGAGTGCGAACCAGCGGTGAGCGTCTTCTTGCAATTGTCGTTCTCACAGCGCAGACACGGCCGGTGCCAGTCTTGACCGAGGAAGGTGACGCGCTCGGCTGGAAAAACGATTCTTGAAGATCCAATCAAAATTTACCAAAATAAACTGGCTTCGTGCAACGAGGACAGTTGGGCATCTTTCAGCGAGGGGTTCGGTTGAAACCTGAAAATAGCGAGTGGCTCGTGAAAACAAACATTCCAACAATAAAGGGAAGACGGGTAAGAAAAAAGGCAACGGAGAAGCTGCCGTGATAGATTCACCGAGAAAACAAAAAGTGAAAAATTTGAAAATCCCAATGACATTCAGCAAGATTTGACACCTGGCTGTTGTAGAATGGAATTCAGCGTAGAATCACTAATAAAAACGGCCGAATTTCAAATTACCAAAAAAGCCAAAACTAGCGCAAAAGTATGCAAAACCCGTCATGGCGTACGGCCGAATTTAATCGCGTCATACATAGATTTGCAGTTTAATGTAAAGTTGGGCCCCCTAATAATCAAAAATTAGCAGGTTGTGACCACCATTCATAATAATTCACCATTGACCAAAGTTTCTTGCACAAAATTTTTTTATGCGGAAGGTGATCAAAGTGGAAGTGATTCTGAGCATCGACAAGAATAAAAAAAGCCAAATTCACGTTCATGGGCACGTAGCGAAGTATGATGTGAGTATGAGGTACAACGGAATGAATCAAGGCGCAAAGTTACGTATAATGGATGATATGACGACAGTTGATCTTTGACGAGCGTTGGCCTCATCATCGAAGGTTGGAGGGCCGGACACCCTGGAAAGACGGATTGTACGAGGGCATGGACATTTGAAGATAGAAAAATCGATAGGGTCATTACCTCAGGAAAAGCAGGTTCAGGAACAAATTCCAGATCTGGACAGTTCCATATCATTCGGGCCAGCCAGATGAATGGTTTGCCGATCTCTCTTTCCTCTTTGGTGTCCACATCAAATGAGTTGCTGTTGTTGGATCGCGGGGTGATGTACACATTATCCCTTTCTTTCCTCGCGACTACAAATCCCGTCCATCCGTGGCGGTGTTGCTCTTCCCACTCTCGCACTCTTTGCAAGCATTCGTCAAGTTGGGTGGGAGATCCAGAGTTATAGAAGGCGAGCACGCCTGTAAAAAATTAAATAGATTTGCTATTAGAATGTCGAAATCTCACTATTCCGAAATTTAAAGTGCTTTCGGATTATCGTGGGGACCCAACTTTTTCTAACGATTCTCTTTTCAAAAAAAAGACCCCCATCCCAGCAAAGGATTTGGAAAGTGCATACCATGGAAGTGGGCGTCTTGAAGATCTTCGATCTCCGATGATCCAGGTATCTCCCAGCATGCAAATCGAACCTTTCCCCGAGTAGTATAGAAATCAACGTTAGTGATCTCGACTGCTTGCGTCTGAATTTCGCCCAGCTTGAATTCTCCGGTGGAAATGCGCTTGAGAAAAGTCGTTTTTCCCGTTCCGGAGGCGCCGATTAGTGCGATCGAAAACTGAAAAGAACGATCTTAATTTGAACAAGGGTGGTATTTCCGAGATATTTCCATCTCACATTCCCATGAATTACCCAAAAATACTGAAAAAATATTACCGTGGGCGGCATTTGCGGTAACCGGGTCCAGTCAAACGTGTAGTCGTATTGGTGGTTCAACGTCCGGAAGAGGATGCGGAACAGCTGCCGGAGATACATGTAATTTGGGGCCTCATCGAAACGAAGTCCACGGCAGTAGTTCAGATAGATCGTGAACTCGGCAGGAAATCCCTCGCATAAGACTTCCACCGGAGTTGACATTTTCTTTTCGGAGATCTTGTCATATTTCTGACGCCGATTGACCGCTTTCAGCCCTTGCCATGGTAGGGTTCCACGGTTGAAGTACATCAGCACGTAGCCCAACGACTCCATGTCGTCTCGGCGGCTTTCCTCAAAGCCGAGGTGAGCATTGATGGACGCATAGCGAGCGGTTCCCGTCAAGCTCTTATCCTTACGGTATGGAATGTGGGAGCGGGTACGAGTGTCATGGTATTTCTTCGCCAGGCCGAAATCGATGATGAAAACCTTGTCGCAGTGCCGTCCTAGGCCCATCAAGAAGTTGTCGGGCTTGATGTCACGGTGAATAAAGTTCTTGGCGTGCACGTATTCGATCCGGCCGATCATTTGATCCGCGAGCATCAGGACAGTTTTCATCGTGAAGCGACGGCTGCAGGAGTTGAAGAGATCTTCAAGCGACGGGCCAAGAAGGTCCATGACGAGGCAGTTGTGCTGTCCCTCGACGCCATAATATCTAATGAGCGGGATGCCGACGCCGCCTTGGAGGATCTGGTAGACATTGTACTCGTAGAGAAGCTGCGGGTGACGAGCTTCGACATCCTCCATCTTACAGGCAACCTTCTCACCATCTGACTCATTGTTGCACGCGTAGATGTCGCCAAAGGAGCCGGAACCGATCTTGCGGATGAGCTTGTACTTGTTCGCGACCATGAAGTCCTGCGAAATGGCCGGGGCAGCGCTCATTGTCGAGCGCAAAAGCCGCCGTTCACCTGAAAAAAAGTAATATAAGTTTTTTCTGCATCAAGGGTACAATTATGGAAACAACTGAAGCAACAAAAAGTTTTTTTATAGAGAGAGAACAGATCAAACGAACAATAAGGGACCATGCCAATTCGGATGTGTTGGGGACCCATAAAAACTAGTGCAGCCGAATCTTCTAAGGAACGTACTGTAAAACAAAAAGGTATCGCTAAAAAACAGATTATTGGGAAACGCTGGTACTCAATTTTGGCTATGTTTTCGCAATTAGCATGCCGATTTTGGGTAATTTTCCCAAAAGTCATCTTCGGGTCGGGTTCTGTCAATTTTGATTACAAAAAGGGTGCTTCCGTGTTAGCGGGGGAGCAAATTTTTAACGGGGGAGCAAGGGAAATTTTTCGATTGTGCCCATGCCTGCATAATAATAAATTAAAAATAGTTTAAAAATGCTTTTAGTAGTTTCCGATCACTAAAACACTATGCACCTTGACATGTTATCAATCTAAAGTTGCTGATCAATTTTGGTCATTTTTGAAACATTTTGGTGCAAAAAGTCAGTGTTTTCTAAACTTTTACCAATATTTCAAGTGTTTTTATCTGTATCTGTTTATTTTTTAAAAAAAATAGTATAAAATGCTATGTAAACTTGGGTACTAGTTTACTTTCGGGGGCCAAAAAAATTTTTCGACCAAAAATGTCTCGTTTTCGATTATTTTATTCAGTTTTTCGTGCTGAATCCCATGAAAGTGTTTCCAGATTTTTTATATCATGATTTCTAGTGATAAATAACTATTTATATTACAAGTAATTTCAAAAGTTTTTCAGTAGTATACCGTAGCACAAGCCGCAGATAAGCCTAAGCCTAACCTGAGCCAAAGCCAAAGGAGAAGCCAAAGCCTGAGCCTGAGCCTGCGCCTAGGTCAAAGCTTAAGCCTAAGCCCAAGCCCAAGAATGCGATCCCGTCTTCAACTTTTGGTGGCATGTAAAGGAGATCCACCCCTGCTAGTAATTGTTATTGTTGCCTAATTGTGATGTTGTTGCAATCATAAAAAAAGCTGGAAACACTTGCGGTCGATTCAGCATGAAAAACTGAACAAAATAGTGCAAAATGAGAAATTTTGGCCGAAAAATTTTTTTGCCCCCCCCCCCCCCCAAAGTATACTAGTATCCAAACTTGTCTAAATTTAATTACGTAAGCCCTAAACCTTCTCAAAAAAATTTCCTGCTCCCCCGTTAAAAAATTGCTCCCCCCGCTAACACGGAAGCACCACAAAAAGTTATGAAAAAGCCAGACATGGCAAACGGCCGGGCCGCCGGCTTTTTTCGGCCGGAAAAAATTAGCATGCGACCGAGCCGCACGGCTTGGCCGGGGCTTCCGGTCCGGCCCCGGCTTTTTCATGTTCTGAGGCCGGAGCCCCGGCCAAGCCGCCGGCTTTTGAAAAGCCGGAAAGCCGGACCCAAATGAGATTTTCGCGTTTCCGGTACGCAAATCGCGGATTCAATCAATAATTAGCTTTATCGCGAGGGAAAAACTATTCCACCATAGAAACTTTGTCATTTCCATTCACAATTTTGCATAGGATTCACCATTTCTCATGTAAATGAACAACTTCCGGTTTCCCGGCTCGGCCGGACCGGCTTGGCCGAGCCGCAACAAAAAGCCGGCTGGGCCGGGAAGCCGGGTTTCCGGAAGTAAGTCATTAACGCGGCTCGTAGGGGGCCGGGTTTTTATGGAAATTAGGCCGGCGGCTCGGCCGGGCGGCTGGGCCGGCCGGGATTGCCATGTCTGGAAAAAGCCCATTTTCGCAATTTATTACGTATTCCGTAGTTTTCGTAAATCAAAAAATTACTCCAGGTGGAAAAAAATACCCTCTTCAGTTTTGCTAAACATTTCGAGGTTCAAATCCACCAAAAAGCTGGTGAAATCGGCAAAACAAATGGCGCTACGTAAGTTTGCTGGCCCCACGATATATGGCCAAAACCTCATTTTTCTGGTTCAGTTTTTGCGCTGATTACGGAAAACAAGGCGAAAGAAAGAGAGATTGATCGATTCTGAGAAGAAAAATCTAAGAGGGGATCGATCAGAAAGTCCTATTACGCATTACCGTAACCGGTCCGTATTGCAACCAGCCGCGGCGCATTTGTTCTGAGGTGTTGTTTGTAGCAGCTCCGGTTTTTCGGCGAAAAGTGTTTCAAAGCAATTCAAAAATGATTACAAATATTGCGTGAGATTTCAGACACCCAAGTATTCTCGGCGCTATTTCGGAATTGGGGACCCACTTTGATTGGTCTAAAAACCCAGGCACTATTCTATTTGGACGGGGGCAAAACATCAGGAAGGTTTTTCGATATTTTCGCGAGTTTTAAGGGGTTTTTCCTTTGTGTTCTCATAGACCACATAAAAATATACTAAGGGTTCTAACCATAGCTCAAAACAATCAACTATAATAAAAAAGTAGTGGTGTCCGTCCGTATGAAGCCGAATTCAACTCGAAGGGGCAAGGAGCTAGAGCTTACAAGGAAACCCCCCCTCCCTCGGCACTCTAAATCACCCTAAAAACTGTGTAAAAAGGCAAAAAATTGGGTTATATTTCGTTTTAAGGCCGTACAGGATCACTGGGAAAATTGGGTTTCCCTGCTAAACCACCCCCCTCGGTAATAGTCCAGTACCGCTTACTCCAGCCGCCACCCACCGATGGAACGTGGTAAGATGTTGGGGTAGTGCTTGTGAAGAGGCGCTCGATCCGACCGCCCAGCCCGCTAGTTGAACGTGACGGAGACGAGCTTGTAGGCGCACACCACCGACACCTAGACATTTCATGATCTTCCCGCGGTCTTCGCCATCAGACCTCCTCAGCATCCATCCAGTCCTCCTCCAACGGCCCGATCTCCATCTTCTCACTGCGCACCTGCCGGGGGTCGTTCTTCTCGTTGATCTCCTGCAATGAACATCGACATCAAGGCTCTGCAGCTCGTTCTCACCGACGACTTGGGGCGCTGGTCGTCGTAGATGTTCAGCTCGATCACCTCGCGCTTCTTGTGCTTGGTGTTGAGGGCCTAAAAATGGCGGGATGCTGAAGACCGGGATCAGCCGCCCACATTGTTCGTGTCGCCAGCGTCCTGATGGTGCATCGACTCGATCTCCAATCGGAAGCTCTTCTTCATGTAGCCGGGGTCCTTGAAGGCGTACAGTGCATCAACAACCAAGAAATACCGTAATGACCGTCTTGAAGTAGGGGTAGGCGTTCCACGACTCTTCGTGCAGCTCGAACGCCTCTTCGGGCAACATCTGGAAGGAGTCGACAGTAGTTGAACTCGCCGCGCAGCTGCATACCTTCTGCACCAACCACGGCACCTTGCTCCTGAAGCGGTAGATCTCCTGGGTGTAGATGCCCTCGAGCTCGCGGCCCGGGCACACCACCTCGTCGGTGCCGAACTTGCGCTGGACCACAACCTGGAAGGTGGTGAAGATGAACGTGCTGAAGTTGATGGCATTAAACAGGGTTCTGGAAAAGAAGTAAAAAATGGATGGAAAAGGACTAAAAAAGGACTGGATCGTTAGCGGGGCGGCCGGGGATTCAATTTTTTTCAATTAATTCCATACCGTAATGAGGTAGAAACCATGTTACAATGTTTCAGGCAAACAAAAACTCCTAAAAACTATAAAAATTTCGTAAATTTTTGATATTTTTTTGGTCAAACATATATGAAAATCTCTTTAGCTAAAAAGAGATTCTTCAAAAAAAAGGGTTTTTGGGTTCGAAAAAAGAGCGAGATTCTTCTGATGCAGCAAAAAGCGTCAAATTCCCTTACTTCCCAAACCTGAGAAAATTCGAAGGATCAACCAAAAATTGCTGGCACCTCTCTAAATTTTTGCAATTAAATTTTTTTATTTTCGGCATATTGAAATGCTTCTGCTTTATTCCTAATAAAAATGCAAGCTACTATAATTGTCATAATTATGCTATTTGCAAGCATTGCGGACTCTAGCTTCAACCACTTCGAACGTTGAGTTGGCAAACCACGTGGCTACCTCGTGATACGGCGTGCTGACGAAGGACAACTAGAAATGCCACAAATGCTCAAATTTAGAAGTGAATGGTGTTTGAAACCGCACTTTAATAAACCAGCAATTTTTGGTTGATCGTTCGAATTTTCTCAGGTTTGGGAAGTAAGGGAATTTGACGCTTTTTGCTGCATCAGAAGAATCTCGCTCTTTTTTCGAACCCAAAAACCCTTTTTTTTAAGAATCTCTTTTTAGCTAAAGAGAATTTTGCTCTTTTTGACTGAACTATGTTCTTAAAATATTCCACTTGCGTGCAGAAAAGTTATTTTTGTATTTGGCGGCGGGAACGGGGGTTATTTTTATTATTCCCGCGTAGGGCAGATGTCGCTATCATTATCTGCCTGTCCTCAAACGAGTCCCGAGGGCGCGGTCCCCAAGGCCACGATTTTTATCAAGCCCTCTGTATGCCATCCCTTGCCATCTGCACATCTGCGCGAGGCGCACCAATCATTGCGCATTTCTGCATTAATGTACGCGCATGACCCCATACCTCCGACCTTGATTATTTTTTTTCAATAGAAAAAGGAAAGCTTGGAAATTGTAAAAAACTACCAAATTTTTACGGTAAATAGTATTATACCGTAATTTACTAAACACCAATTTGTTGGACCATAAAACGCGCACAATGTACCGTAGTTCTAGCTCACGAAGCTGAACACGATCACCAGACCGTAGATGAGGAACGCGGCGAAGAAGATCGCCTCAATAAAGTTTTTTGAATATCTGATGGCTTGTGGCGTAGCTGTCGGGCCTAACCGCTCGAGGGGTAGCCCACGTCCCACGCCTTGCCTTTAAGGTCCCTTTAAGCCGGATTTCCTCCTGGATTACCTGATTAACAGCATGAGCCGGAGCTGCGTACTTCTGCGCCGCGTTCTCATGCTTCGTGGACTAGAAACATGATATCGAGCCTGAAAATTTAGACACCTTTGGCATCGGGAAGACGAGACTAAGGATGGAGACGAGCCGAGCCAATGTGGGGGTGAAATTTCTGAATTTAACGAGGATTCAATTGCTTGAATTTTTATACCAATCGGGCTGGATGCAAGCTTCTCGAGGATCATGGAGGCGACGAAGTAGAGGCCGGTCATTACAAAGTTGAGGCCCGGTAACCCGTTTTGGTTTGAGGTACCCCCACATACGACTCTTCTGGGGTCCTCTTCCGGATTTCACTTGAAAAGACACTCTTCTCCTCTCTCTCTCTCAGGTGTTTTTCGGACAGATATTTTTCGGATATGTGATCGCCACCCGATGTAAGGGGATTCTTAGAGCTAAACTAAAAATCGAGAAGGGATTTTGCATCCATTTAAAGGGGCTAGGAAGGCAGCAGAATTAACCCCTGTTGTCGGCTAGGTGTTGACAAGTACGCGGCGGTAGAATAAAGTTGATCGTAATCGAGACGTTAATCTCTGGTAGATACACTGACTTCCCAGACTCTTAAATGTGACCCAAAAATCTCACATTCATCCCAGTCCCTCGATTTGCCATCCAGTGACCCGGGTGTCGGTGAACTCCTCCCTGTCTTTGTCTCGCACCTCCTCCGTCACCGAGAACTTGGCCGCCAACAGGCGCTTGTCATCGAATTTGTAGCACACCTGAAAGAGGATTAAGCTTTAAAGGGATCGACCAGGCATGTTTATGGATTTGGCTAGGCTAAGTTCCAGTCATGGTTTAATCCAAATCTAAGCTTAAGCCTAAACCTAAGCCTAAGCTAAACAGAAGCCTTGGGCTATGCTTGAAGCTGACCCTGAGCTTCAGCTGAGTCGAAGCCTGAGCCCAACTCTCAGCCTTTTAGACTGACTGTGAAGTGTTTGTACTCAACTTGGAGTCGCGATTCGGGACCAACTGCATCTTGTGCAGAATTCTTTGCTAATTCCGAATCCGTTTTCCAAATTTGCTACGGGCTTTTTTTGAAAGTTATATGGCAATTTTGATAGGATGCTCCACCACAATCAAGGCGCCGTTATCGTTTTCAATTGGCTAAACAACCATCTCAAAGATCAAGATAAGCGTTTTTCATAAAAAATTAACTTTGTTGTGCAAAAAGCAAAATAGGTGATGCAGGGCGGAGGTTCGCACCGCCGCCCTGCGCTTGGCAAGCGAGTACTTTGCCAATGCACCACGGTGCTAACTGGAGCCCCGGCTGTCAGAGCGTACTTCAGGGCTCCTGGCAAGGCCCCTATCCGTAGCAGATTTGGAAAACGGCTTGCGAATCAGCGAAAAATTCTGCACAGGATTCACTTGGTCCCGAATCGAATCTCCAAGTTGAGTAAAAACACTTTACAGTTAGCTGATCTTCTCGGTGTTGCTACCTGACTTATTTTTAGCTTTTCAGTTTTATTTAATTTTTAGAAGATCCCTTTTACAGAGACGGTCGGACCACATTAGATTTCTCCACGCCGGCCATTTCCATACGGCGATGCATGACCATAGGGTGACCTGACCTGGCTTAATTTCCCACGATGGACTATAACGTGTCGTGCCCAGCGGTTCTCGATCGATGCACTAGCGGGTCACAATGTCTTTTCCCCCACTTGCATTTGACCAGGTCACTTTGGGCGAGTGCGTTTTCGTTAATTCCATATAGCCAAGCGTCATTTGCCGGCATAACACCTAAACACCTTTCACATCACAGATTTTCAAACTGCACTAACCCCGAAGAATATTTGTTGATTGGGGCCAAAGCGAGATAATGGCTGGGGATTTTAATAGGCAAAAATTTTGAGAGAGCGACATATTTATGTGGAGTGAAGTAATCGGATTTTTCGTTTTACAATATTTTTTCTATGCAAAGGAGGACAACTTTCCGGATAATTGATGGGAAAATTGATTTTTAGGTCAGACGTTTGCCAAAACCGGTTTTTTGAACATGGTGTTTGAAAACCTCCAGATGACACCTTCAGTGATGTTCGCTATTTCTCGACTACCAGAAGGCCTCATCTCGATGGTGCTCGAACAATTGGCCATAAACGAGCTCATCCTACTGCAACGTGTCGTCAAGAAGTTCAGGTAACCACTTCGGTTATCTTTGTGGACCCGGAAAGGCCAACCGCGAATCAAGGGTTCTTTAGGATTCGCGGGGGACTACATTTTTTCCTGGCGGTCCCGATTGGCCTAGTAATCAAATATAAATTGTTTTTACATTGTTTTTCGCAGATTTTAGCTACTGGGTGTCCGAAAAAAGCACTCCCTCTAGCGTTCCGGGGGAAACTCAGATAATGATGATATTATACCCTTCGAAGGCCTTGAATAGGCGAGAAAACAAGCGGGCTCCATTTTCTAAGATTTATTTTTTATTCGCCCAAGATTTAATCCTACTACCAGGGTTGAAAAGCCGCTTCGCGACTTTTCAACCCTGGCCCCGTCTGAGCTCATGATATTCTGCACATTGCATAACTCGGCCGAATTTCGATGAGAAATAATGAAAAATGCACCCTCTTCGCCGTTATATAGACTGCCGCCACTTCCGGCTTATGCTAATTAATTCCTAACAAAGAGACTGCCCGATTTTTTAACAAAAATTGATTTTTAATGTCGAAAATAGCATAATTTGCCAAATCTGATAAGCGTGCAGTCATCTCGGGGCCATTACGCACCTAATGACGTATCATACGTATCCTAATACCCTTCCCCTTTTGAGATATCCTCCGGACACCCTGACGGAAGTTGCATGCAAAGTGGCACACACACACACACACACAAACACTATTTTTTATATATAGTAGGATATATAAAAAAATGGTTCATGTGTGTGTGTGTGTGTGGACACTTTGCATAAATGGCTCGAAAAAAACCGGGTTACCAAGATATCGGGAAGGGGGATCAATTTTAGGACCCAGTCGAAAAGTATTGATGGGTAGTCGAGGGCGTAGATTACTGCAAGCTTATCAGATTTATAATAAAATGACGATTTATACCTTAATTTAGTTATTTTAAAACATATCAAAATATCCTCATTTGCATACGAGGCGCTAGGAAGCTCATTTCGAATTTTGTCGCGCTAGCGGCCGGTTGCTCTTACTGTTTTTGGTTTCACTCTTGCTCTTCGCTCGAATTATGCAAAGTGCCCAACTTTGAGAGTTCCGTGTGCGAACCCAGGGGTCAAAAGCCGCGTAGCGGCTTTTCAACCCTGGTGTTTTTCTAAAAAAACAGATAGATTTTCAATAAGAATTTCGCAATTAGCATGCAGATTTCTCATAAATCTGCCGTTTTCGTGGTTTTTAGGACGTAAAATTCGCTGATAAAAATTCATAATAAAGGAAATGAACCCTCCTTGTTTTCGAGAGCTGCGACCGATACCTAACCGGTGAAAATTCGACACGACTCCGCGCCGCTAGAGGGGTCCTTTTTTGGGACACCCTGTTTATTTAAAGGGTTGCCGACGGCATGTGTCGATCCCCTCATCAACAAAATGGGAATTAGCCAACAGGGTCGAGAGCGCGCTCCGGGGAGAGGCGCAGAGACATTTTCTTTCCAGCGCGTAACCGATTGACTATGCCGTCGGCATCCCTTTAAAGTACAAAAACTTTGAAACAAATTGGAAAATGTTTGAAAAAGTCGAAAATTTGGCCAGTTTGGGTCTAAAAAACCAATTTTTCGACCTAAAATTAAATTTTTTAATGAAAAATTGTATAGTTGTGATGCTTAGGAATAGTTCAAAACAATTTACAAATGCATCCGCTATTTCCAAAAAAATTTAGGCTTGGGCCGAAAAAATTGGGGTCCCCCGCGAATCCTAAAGAATCGAATCACGGCTGCAGCATCTGGACCTATTTTAGAAGGAAACAGAACAAACCTTAGACTAAAGAATCCAATCTACAGGAAGTTGGTCAATGCTCGATGGCTGCTACCCCGAAAACTCCGGACGGTCTCTGTTCTTGGACGAGCACATAAAATCGAGGAAGAAGTTGGGGAGAAGGGCGACCCACACCAGGTTTATGTGATTCAATTTATGTGAAAATAGGGTTGCTGAACAACTTTCCGAAGAATAACTTGTTGGTTGCACTTTTAACAAAATTGTATTTGACAGGTAGGGGCCGAAAATTCCCGCTTTTTTTGGACGCGTTGAGTGGAGTTTGTTTTGAAACTTTTAATAAGCTATGGGGGCTGTACAAAATACAGCTCTCGGGATGCGCTATTCATCAACTGGTAACGATTATTGAACCGAATTAATGAGCCGTCGATAGGGCAGTCCGGCAAAATCAGGGGTTATCAGTAAAATTATGACGAATTTATTATAACGTTTTAAAAATCTCAGTTTTTGACTAGTTGGTCAGTTTTCATACGTTATTGATGAAAAACTGTATGGCAATTCTCCAAAGCACTCATTGGATTGAGAACCTATAGGTATTATTGCAGCTTTTGACCCACGACGTCTGTATCGCGCTGGGCGATCGGGATGGATATATGATTAGGGTGCACAGCCACGATCATATCTACCTGATGTCAAGATGTATGAGAGCAATCAGGTAATCACAAGGCCCGAACTTTAAACTGGCCAAAGATGGCGCGACGAATTATATGTACACTCATTTTTCAGTGTATCGAAGGTGCCGTTCGCCCTCTTTCTCGAACATCTACCGAATTCGTATTTTTCCAGCCACTCACTATTCTTTACAATCACGGAAAAGGGCGTAAGCACTACAAAAAATACGTTCTTCTTTTCCACTGGCTCTCTCTCTTTCTCTCTCTCTCTCTCTCTCTCTCTCTCTCTCTCGCTCTCGCTCGCTCAGGCTTGATACCTAAAATGTTATTGTCAGTTCAAAACATGGGGATATGATGCAGCGCAATCGCAAAATATATGTCGACAGCGACTCGACGACGTAAGTGATATTTAGTACAGCATTCTATACAAATTCTGACAGGTTAGCCCGTTTCTCCGTTCCCTGAACGCTGCCTATCGCATAGAAATAAGAGTGGCTGATAATTCGACCTTACGGAAAATTGCGCTTAATTATCAGAGCGGAGGGAGAATCATCAGCATTTGGTCGGTAAGTGCTTGTCCGGCTTCGCTGAAGTATCTTACTACCCGGATTCGACTGAAAGTATGGCTATCCGGCTCTCAACCCCCCCCCGCGTTTCGTCTGCAAGCGTACCCCTTACCTGAAAATATCGTGGAAATCATGCCTCTTCGATTTCGCCCCGAAACCATTTCGGTTTTTCGCAATATTTAACGTTTTTTCGCGACGAAATTAGTTTTCTGGTGCTTTTGAGCAGCCCCCTTTATTTTTTTGACCGGTAGGAAGGCCCGGGCACACGAATTTTGACTTCATAGCGCCTTTAAAAACTGCTGCAAAATTTAGGCAGACAACATCACACGCTGTCGGGAATGTCAAGAGGTAAGTGCCACCTGAAAATAATCCTTTTTCAGCGTGATAATGCCCATAATAATATATTTTGCAGCGTGACGGCACCGAGATACCGAGCAAATGTCGCGTTTGTGAAGATGTATGGAGTGGATGGCGTGAGAAAGGATGCAAGTCCGCAAAACGACAGCAGAAAATCCGCCTGCACACCGAGGAGACAGGCACTCGTGTCATCGGCCGGCTTGCAGATGTATGTAATCGTGACTTATTGCTAACAATGTAACTCCCCTGTCCCGGCCATGCTCTGCTCCCCAGCGCCGACACTTGCGCCCCAATATTTGCCGCTAGCGCCATCGAAACTTGTGGCTATTTGCACAGATATTTTTCAAGATGATTATAGTTCGTCTTGGTTCTTTCGCATTATTGGGGGGAGTTTATCGCGGGGGACCAACTGGTTTTCTTAGGACCTAATTTTCAAATAGCACCAGGGTTGAAAAGCCGCTTCGCGACTTTTCAGCACTGGACCCGTCTGACCCTACAATATTCTTCACTTTGCATAATTTCCCTCATTTCCGATAGCAAAAAATGAAAAACGCTCCATCTCCCATTATATAGGCTACCGCCACTTCCGGCGGACGCAAATTTTTCCTAACAAAGAGGGTGCCCGAAATTTTCCAAAAAGGAAAGTTTTATGTTTAAAACAGCTGGTTTTGTAAAACCTGATAAGCGTGCAGTCATCCCAGAGCCATATGTACTTTAAATTTCATTCTATATCGAGATAGCCTCCGGAGATGGTGACGGAATTTGCATGCAAAGTGACACACACACACAGACACTATTTTTTCTATAGAGTGAAAGTGTTTGTAAATGGTTTTTTCTCTTCCTAAACCTGAAAACTTTACAACATTTTATTAAAGAAAATTTTTTTAAATATAGATTTTTCGATTTTGCAACCTATCTTTGACGAAAATGCCGACTTTTTCAAAGCTAGATAGTTTTTCTAGTTGAAATATATTTATTTGTAACTACTATTAAACCACTATCAAAAGTTACCACCATCAAGTTACTCGACATTTCTAGACATAAAAAAAGCTCGCCCCCTCCCCCGATAATGGAAAAAACCGTTATCCTCATACAAATCTATACAAAAAATAACAACAACAAAATACAAAGGGAATTTGTACAACCGATACAAAAAATCCATCACTAATCTTTACCTAAGAATTTGTAGTTTCATGATCAGGAATAGATTACATAATGTACAAAAACAACCGCAAGGTTACCGTAGTTGGTTTCCCGCTGGGGGTGCTTTTTGGGACGCGATGTACTCGCGGAGAATATACGATACGGGTTTCTTTCTGTTCCAGGTGGCGTTCAATCCTGCGCGGGTACATCGCGTGCTCTATGAGATATTGACGATGTGCGGGGACGACCAACAAGACAGCGCCGTGTTCTTGGTATGGAATCGGGGTTTTCAAACAAATCTGACTCCGTATTTCAGCAATCATTCAAGAAACGACTCCAACTTCTTCATAGTGGAGATCTACAGCTCGTCGATAAGTATGAAGGCAATATGAAGGAACACGCTAAATGGATCAAGGAAGCGCAAACGGTAGCCGTCGTTTTGATTACGCGATTTTCATCCCGCCGAAATCAGTGAGATGAACGTAATTACGTAATTACGTAAAACACTGGTTGGGTCAAAGAATCATTTTGTATTGATTTCAACATTGCAAAACGCGACTGATAAAGGGAAGATTGGTCCGTTACGGGAGTATCGAAAAATTCTTGCCAAACCTAAACCTCGAAATGTGGCTAAAATTATAGGCTGACGGCAGCCCAATTGAAGCCTACTACTTCAGGATTCGTGCATCTGGCAAAGGTAAATCAATCATAAAAGCAAGGTTCATGATAACGTGTTTAGATTACCGGGGCGCCTTACTTTGTAATAAGTACAAGAGATCGATGCGCATTTTCGATAGATGAAGCCTTACTTTCTGGGGCACCAAACGATAAATATACTCGCATTGCGTAAGGAAAGTAAAATGCAAAGTATATGGACTGTTGTTGCATTTGCCCGAAAACAGCGACATAGTAAAACTTTATTTTGTGCAAAGCAGACCAACCTTGACCGCATGAGTATCTAACGATGATTGATAATACTGACTCGACTAAACAAAGAAACAAAAACCAATTTCATGTTTCACAGGAAAAATTTAAGGCAGTCAGGCGTAGGGAGGAATTGTGTCGAACAAAGGAAAGAATTAATGCGCAAAGTTACGTATAATGGATGATATGGCGACAGTCGATCTTGTGACGAGCGTTGGCCTCATCATCGAAGGTTGTAGGGCCGGACACCCTGGAAAAAACGGATTGAATGAGGGCATGGACATTTGAAGATAGAAGAAATATAAAAGTTACCTAGACGGTGCCGGCCGACCCTGGAAAGGGCTCATGGGTGCCGGTGCTGCCGCCGAGGAAGGTATGCGACTCGACGCCGCCATGACCATAGCCGCGCGGGCCGAACAGGGCGCCATAGCAGCGGTTGCAGTACGGACGGCCTTCGTGCTGAAAATAAGAATAGATTGAATCCAGGTAGGCTGACCAGCAAGCAAACACTCTATAATTGAAGCTCCACTAATTGCGCCGATTTTGTCAGGAAATTACCATAGCAAAAAGCTAAAATCAAACCTCAGAGTGCGAACCAGCGGTGAGCGTCTTCTTGCAATTGTCGTTCTCACAGCGCAGACACGGCCGGTGCCAGTCTTGACCGAGGGAGGTGACGCGCTCGGCTGGAAAAACGATTCTTGAAAATCCAATCAAAATTTACCAAAATACACCGGCTTCGTGCAACGGGGACAGTTGGGCATCTTTCAGCGAGTGGTTCGGTTGAAACCTGAAAATAGCGAGTGGCTCATGAAAACAAACATTCCAACAATAACGGGAAGACGGGTAAGAAAAAAGGCAACGGAGAAGCGGGTGGTGCCCGCATTGGGAGGTCGAAGAAGAACCCGGCGGCGGCAAGGCGCTTGGTTTTGTTTATTTTTCGTATCAAATCAACCACATTTTTGGGGCGCCAGTTTGGGCCTGGCCGTTTGTTCTCAACACCAGATTTGAAAAGGCCTGCTCACCCACCCAAAGACTAGACAGATTCGCTTAAGCTACTTGGTTTTCAGCTTAAGCCAAGGCTTAACTTAGCTAGAACTATGCCTAGCTGAGCTAAGCTTATCTTGAGCTTCAAATTGTCTTACGAGGTCAAAATGGGGTCATTTAGGGGTCAGCTTAAGGCTAATCTTAGCTTGGCTCAAGCGAGACCTCGTTTGTATGAAGCTAAGCCTAGGTTTAGACCTAGCTTAGCTTTTCTAGAGGCTTCGAGTTTAAAAAAAACAGCATTTGGAGCATCTTGTAGTCAAAATCCGGACTGCCCCTTCGCGATCCCATCCAGCGAGAGTTCCATTTCCGAAACGACACCAAGTCGTACATCGGAATATAAAGTACTACTAATAAATAACAGCAGAATTTCAAAAGTTCGCAAAAAGCCAGAACTAACGCAAAAATATGCAAAAGCCGTCCCGATGGGTTACGGTCACGTTTGGGGAGGAGCCCCTGGCGGCAGGCGGACTGGGAATGCGGCTTGCGGGCATTGTTAGGTTCCGGGAAAGCCGATTGGGGCAACCGATTGACGGGAATATTATGGAAATCGAAGCGCGAGTCGGTTTTTCAATTGAATGAGAGTGCTGGCACGCTGGGCGGCTCGTTTTTCGGGTTGTCGGTTTTGCGATGTTTGGGGAACTGGTATGGGCCGGGGCTGATCGTCGCCAGATAGGCTTTGGTCGGCGAGGGATTTGGAGGGGGGCGATCGCAGATTGGAACAACGCCGCGGCGCGCGCGGGACATAAAGTCCGAAAAACATTTCAATAAAGCTGGGCGTGTGCGAAATGACGTGTGCGCGTTGGATCGGGATTTTTGGGATTATCCGGGGCTGGAATTTTGGGCCGGGCGGCTGGCGGGAGGTGGGGGCAAACGAGATTGGTTATCATGTTGATGAAAGGAATAGATAGGCGCGATAATTTGGCAGGTTTTAAGGGGCTGCGGAATTGTGGGAATTTTAGGAATTTGAAAACATAAAAAGTCGCAGCAAACGTACGAGAAGCTCATTTGGCACGATGCAAGTTGTAGGTTTCTGCTTTTATAACAAATTAAAAGTAAGAAGTAAAAAAAGTTAATTAACTCGTAGACCTAGACTAATTCTCGGCTTGAAACCAAGCTAGGTGTATTATAACTATAAAGCAAGGATAAAAATTTAAGATGTAGCCCGTTTTTAGCCGCAAAACCCGAGAAAAAGCCACTTTTTTTCGTCGCTAGCCTCTAAATTAGATTCTAGCAAAACCCGTTGCAAAAGCGCCACCACCACCACGTCTGGCCACGCCGTGTATGTCTGGCTGGCGAGGTGCGCGAGAAGCCCCAGGGGCTGCGCGTCAGCTGTCACTTTTCGTCTCCGCCCAGGCCCAAATAGTGCCCGGGATTTGCCACATTTACGCATACACACGGCCATCGACACTAGGTGCGCGCAGTTAGCGGCCAGCAGCTCGCCGTGTCACCCATCTATCAGCCCTGTCGACAATGGGGTGTGCCTGCGCCTTGGATATGTTTGAGCCCTCGGGGGGTATTTGGGCAAATACGGGCGGACGTGAAAATATTTAGGCGTCTGGGAAGGCGTTGGACGGTGATGATGGCAAATAAATAAGCACTAAAGACGTGAAAACCTAAAAAATGAGCCATTAGAACAATTAGAAAAAAATTCTACGACATCTGCCGGCGAGTTTCAAGTTTTTTGGACTCGTTGTTTTTAAAAAACAGCTTCCGTTCAAAAACGCCATAGGAATCTAGCGAAAATCCTGTAGAAATCTATCCATAGATGATATCGCTTTTTATATGCAAACGAAAAATTAAGCGGTTAAAATTAGTCGTGAAAATCCGGGATTTAGGATTTAAAAAAGTTTCGTATCCTAAAAACTTCAAAAAAATTTTTGATCCAAGATCTTGAAAAGGCCAAATTAGGCCAAACATGCACTCTAACGAAAACTGTAAACCATCCAAAAACCTCTTTTCCGTTCAAAAACACCCAAAAAACAATAACAATTATTTTGAATATCCAATTTTCGTCATGGCAAAAGATTCCCGCCAAAATATTTAGGAAACGGGGCATAACCCAAAAAACAAGGAGGAAAATAGGGCAATGTTCTGCCCAAAATTGGCTAACACTTCGCGGCAGACGCTGTCGAAATTGGGGTGTTTACGCCCAAAATTGGGCCCACTGGTGGATCTGTTTTTGGCGGGGGGCCAGCTAGCAGCGGGCAGGCAGGCCGCGCAGTGCTTTTTGAGACTCACGAGGAGGGGAGGGGGTGGAGGAGGATGGGATGGGCATTCAAACGACAGAGGGGGGATGCCCTCTGTTAGTTGGACACTATTCCAAGGACAGGGAGACAGGAAAAGGTGCTCGCCCCTCACCCTATATTGCGCCCTCTTTGTCCCTAAATAGCGCGCCTCGGTCTCTGGCGCGTGTCTTGGATTATGGGCATGTGATCTCCAGGGATCGGGATCAAAAATCAAGTTTTTAGGGGATGCGAAAAAGTTTATAAAGCGAAACTTTTCAGCATAGGGTGGGAAATGACAGAATTCCGGTAGGCTGTGGCGCCGAATTTGTTGCGTAAATAGGCGTCCGTTGGTTTCCTAGCCTTTCTGAACGTTTTCTGAAAATGCTAACTCGACGTATTGAACCGGATCCCTAAAAAGCTTTGTATTTTGTTTCTCTTTTTCCGAAAAAAGCGACCACAGGTGAGGTCCAGTGGAGCGCCTCGTCCTCCAGCATTCTGGTACGATACGCTGCTCGGCACGGGTTTACCCTGGGCCCCTCTTGGATTTCGGTGTATGTTGCCTTTTTGGCATTCGCTTGTCCCTTTAAAGGTTCAAAACACAGAAATGAATTCAAACAAAGTTTTTTGGGCAGAGCTGTCTTAAACAGAGTGAATCGCGTCGCCGACGAGCCGCGATTTTGCGAGACTCAAAAAACTTGTCAAAGCAAAGCGTCATTTTTTTGTGATTTCCTCAAAGTTGTCGTTCTGTAAAGTACGCTATCCCGTAAGTACGAAAACTGTGCGCGCGTACTTTGCATATCGCGCCCAACACTTCAACGATCAACAAACTACGCGGGCGCGTGCCGGGATTGCTGTGAGCTCGCGCTAAAGTGCATCCATCGAGTTGTGGATTTGGTGGGGGAGGATAAGCCCCGAGGGCTGTGGCTACTGCTCAAGGCTGTGGGTGATGTTTGAGGCCGAGGACTGTAGAGAAATGGGGGGTGTCGTAAAGTTGCGTTTTCGCCTTTAGGGTCTGCGGGTGGATGTCTGGAAATGGCGACATTGGCCGGGCGGCGGTAGGCTGAATGGGAGGAGCTGAACAAAATCGAGTATCTTTAGAAAGTACAGGGTGGGCCAAAAAAAAGTGAAGTTTGGGTCAAATTATCTCGCGAACGGAAACGAATCAGACCATCGTTACCTTGCCAGAATGCTTAAATATGCTGGGTATGAAGAAATAACACAAGTTATTTTTTAAGATTATTACAATTTGAAAATTCTGGGCTTTTTAGCCATTTTCATAAATTTTGACAATTCTGGTTTTCTAAAGCTTGGACAGTCCCTCTTTTTGCATAAACCGTTCATTTGCCTAGCTATTAAGCCAATCCGAGACCAACACAAAAATCCCCGTCATTCGGCCTCCGCGCCGACTCGCCCAGCGCCCCGCGCGCGACGCCACACGCCGCCCATTTTCCGATGCTCCGGCACCTCTACGGCACCGCGCCAAGGAATCAGGCAAGTTTTAATGATATTACAGAACATTAATTCGGTTCCAGTCGAAAATACACCCATCCGTGCTCCAGGGCCCTTCGACGACAGCTGCGATCGCGATCGAGGTAATTAGCGGCGTTTCGAACCCGGTACTGAACCGTTAGCAGGGGGATATCGAATTTTGTTTGACGTCGTTTTTGACCGGAAAGGCCGCAATTTTCGAACATTTTCTAACTTTTAAAATGTTTATTTAACTCAAAATGTGTACAATGCTGGAAAAATGGTTTGTCTCACGGCCCGTGCGTAATTACTTAAAAAAAACAGCTCTCTCTCCCTCCGCTAAGAGTTCAATGCCATAGCTGGGCCTCCCCCGCTAAAGGAGAAGTACCAAATTTTCGTCTTTCAGAAGTTCAGCCGACTTCCAAGCTCAAGGGCTGTCGATGCCGGATTTTTTCGCAATGCAAAGGTGACAAATTTTTGAAAAATTTTGGGGCTATGATAATTTGGTCAAGAAATAGGTAAACTCCAGATAACCCCCCAACCGGCACCCAACTTTGGCTACGGTTTACTTTACCCCCCCAGCCGGAATGTTTTGGCTATAACTTTTTTATTTTACATTATTGTAGGCTCATATTAAAACTCTTAGTATATTTTTCGACGCTCTATCGAATGGCGTTGCGAAAATCCCGACAAAATAAGCGAAAATACCGACAACTTTGAGACCCTTCGGCTGTGGGGGGGGTAAAGTAAATTCTTACCCCAACTTTTGTATCTCGGCTCCCTGTTCATCTACAGGTGTGTAAAGTATACCAAAATTTTCGTCTTGCTGTGGCGAGTATTTTGGTATACTTTACACATCTGTAGATGAACAGGGAGCCGAGATACGGTAGGTGCGGGTCGGCTGGGGGGGTTATCTGGAGTTTAGCCAAGAAATAGCTCCCTTCTAGATCCGAACGGCTACAGAAAAGGGCGGCAACTCGAACGAGGAGGATGAAGCCGCAGGATTGGAAGAAAAGGAAGGGCCCGGCACGCTGGGGCTGCGCATCGAATGCCGGGTTGGTATTGGCGGCTACGCGGGCTCAAGTCTAGGAAACCCCCCCAGCCGACTTTTCAACTTTTCTACCTTCCTTATTTTTATTTTTCGCTACTTTTTTCGACTGAACTGCAATGTAGTCTTACTAATTAGCCTACGGCGAACATTTTGGTATACTTTAGAGCTCGCTAGCACAAAGGGGGGCCGAGATACAAAAGTTGGTGCGGGCTGGGGGGGGGTTTCTAGACTCTTACCGCTACGCGGGACTCCGGGCTGACAGCACGATTTTATGCGCTTGCTTCAGAAATGTCGTCAGACGGTCGACGGGCCGGATGATTGTCTCGTGCTCCACGCTTCAGATCATTCGCCGAGGTGGGAGGTTTTAAAGGGACGGAAAAGTGAGGTTTGCCGCCACGCAGGACGCAACTGATCCACAACGCGATCATTGGGGCCATGATCACGCAATCTAATCGTGGGCACGGCGAAGCGATCAGACATACAATTCATCCGCGCTCATTCCAGAAAGCGCTACGTGTGCACAAAATGCGGAACGCAGGCCAGCCGCCTCATCGACCTCGAGCCCCATCATCGTCGATGTCCATTCCGGGGTGGCGGCGCCGGACGCGTCCTCGACAGGTTCACATCCCTTCTCTATACCTTTAAAAAGACGGCCAAAGTTATATAATTTTTTCTCTATGGTCTATTAAAGTCGCGCGCGCAACACGCAGCGCGCATTAGATTTCTCTTGCGTAGCGTATTACGGCTCCTGGGATTGGACTGTTAGGGGGAGGCGGGCAATTTCAGCACTTTGATAACGTTTTCCAACTTTTTGATTGCTAAAACCCATAAACATTTTTGAAAAAATGTTGAAAAGTAGAAAATTTTGACCTTTTTGTTCATTTTATACACATTTTTGAAGAAAAAGCCAAGAACTTTCGAAAATTTGATACTTTTTAATGAGCCGTTTCTGGCTAAAGACTGTAGAAAAACTATGAAATAGTTATATTTGGTTATAGGGCCGTACCGATTACTTGGAAAAATTTGTTTTCTTCGCTAGTAACTCCGCCCCCCCCGCCAACAGGCCAGTACCGGGAGTCCATCCCAATTAAAAAAGTCGATATTATAGCTTCACGGTCCCTTTAATTTCCGCAAATCCCAGAGCCGACCACAGCCTCGTCAACACGTGGTACCGCGAGTTCACGCAGTGCTTTGCCGAGCCCGACCACGAGTGCTTCATCAACGGTAAAGCCTAGAATTTTCGTTACCTCCTATACCTCACCCATGCTACCGTATCCTAGCCTCAATTCCGCCCCCATTTTCCAGGGCTGATGATCATGAAGGAGGACGAGATGGCCCGCGCCAAGTCGACCCCCGTCCCCTCCACTTAATATCAACGCCAACCAATACAAAAAAACTCGATTGTCTATGCTACGACAAATTATTATTACGTCGATTCTTGTGTGCATTCTGTGATTATATATTACGCGGGTTTTTTTAATAAAGTGGTTTCATTTTGTTGTTCATTTTTAAACAATTTTGTACTATTTTAAGCAATTTAAACGGGTTTTTAAACGATTTTCTAATCAGTTTTGATATGTTTTCATTTTCTTTATGACGCTACGGCATTTAAAGGTATCGAAAAGCGAGGTGGTTGGGTTTTTACGTGCTGAAAAATTTTTCCGGGAATGAACTGATGACGTAGCGCAGGCGTCCACGTAATTTGATGAAGTCAAGGTCCGCCTCAAATCATGCGTCGGCTGGAATTCGATGACTAATAGATTGGGGGCAAGGAATGCCCGGCGGGCAATCGGATCCGCTTATCCAACCAGACCGATAGCCCATTCCGGATCCCCCCTCAAATCACTAACCATCAGCATGTCCAGTCCGTACGCGACGCATCGATTCTTTTTTAGACGGCACGTTCAAAGTAGCATTCCGTTCTCGTTTTTGTGTTTCAACTCTTTGTGCAAATGAATAAATGCATAAAATTAAACCTAGAAAAATTCCTAAAGCTCCGCATCCGCGCCCGAAATTCGAAAATGGGCGGATAAAACGGCTTTTAACGTCCCTCGCGCCGCGCGCTATCCGAAATATTATCCTTTTTTTTGCGTAAAAAAGCCCAATACTTACTTCAACGTCTTTCCTTTCGTTTAACAAGATCGCTACCCATTTCAGATGAAGCGACTGACTTTTTGCCTATTGCCACTCCTCCCCCTGGCGGCCGGCTTTCGGATAAAACGCGAATTTATGTACGTAAACGCCGACAACCCGTCAGATGCCGATTGTTTTCAGGTTAGCGGTTTAGCAAAACATCAGTATGCTTTTTACATAGGAACATCAAATCAAGGCTGCTTGAAAACCGGCCAAAACAGGTTGAAAGACGAACTTTTAATCTTCAGGCGATTTTCTGGTTTTTAAACATTATTTTCTTGTTTCGCAGGATGAGTTAGATATCTTGGTATACTTTACAGTCCCCGTAGCTCAAAGAAAAGTTGAAAAGTTGAGTTTAAAATATTGCCAGGTCGGCTGGGGGCTTTATAAAGTTTTTTGGCTCTAAAAGCATATTGATTAGATTGAAAACCATTAAAAATTCCCCTAATTCCAGCAATGCAACGAAAAATACGTGAGCGACTTTGAGTACAGCTTCAACATCTCCACCGACGACTTCTACGACTTTCCCCTCCATCCATTGGTGCGAAATCCGGAGGAATCTGAGGAAAGAATAATGGGGATAGATTCTAGAGCACTCGTCCTATTTGTTGTTCTGCAAATTAGCCAGCGACAAGACGAAATGTTATATGGATCGGTGTAATGACAAGGTATTTCTAAAATAAATATACTTTTCAAAGGATTTAGACATCCGACGTGGTGTTCTCGCCGTCGAATTTTATCTGTGACTTCCGGCGGAAGTTGTTTTTGGAGGTAACTAGGGGAGTTGATGCTCAAAAGTCTCCCAACTTTAGGCCCGTCCCTGCCTTTCCGAAGCGGAACCGATTACGTTCCTAAAATGCGACCAGGAATGCCATACGGCGTTGCACAACGAGAATTCGATACGAAATAATTCGCTGTTTCGGGTGGGGATTTTTCAAAGGTTTAGAAAATATCCTTATTGCCTCGATTCGTAGGCACATTTAAATGATTTTGGAAGCGGGAAAGCCGCGGAGCGCGTCGCGTTTGCATCGCGCTTACCACCCAATTAGAGCGCTAAAAGGTGCCTAAAATCCGAAAAATATCTTGAAATTCAGGTAGAAGAAGTTGACGGCTATGAAGATGCGCTATCGACACTCTGCACATTCCAAAGCTGCTACCTCGATTGTGCACTTCCGGTTATTACCGAGGTATCGGCTATAGTACTACTGAATGCCCTCAATTTTAAGGTGTGCAAGGCCGACGGGGCAAAGCTCGCGGCCGATTTGCTGACGACATTTGTGCACTGGCACGCAAACGACATCTACGAATGGTTAGTTAGATTTAAGTTTAACTAGTTTAGCAGTAGTTAGAGTTTTTGTACAGTTTTTTTAGTTTTTGGAGGTCTTAAAGTTATATTAATTACGTTGTAACTTAAGGCACGCTTGGCTACGCGAGAGCGCAATAGGTAAAAGTGTACAGAGGAGCGCCCCGTTGTGGTAGGTGAAGTACGTTGCGCTACTCAGCCCGCTTGTATCGTAAACTTCCAATTTTGACGGTTTTGGGAGCGTAATATGCGTTTAAAAGTGTCTTTAAGTCTTTAGAAGCCTCGTAAGCAAGCAAATTTTTAAAATAAACTGTGCTAGCTGCCCATTCATCGCTAATAATTGAGTTGGTTTTTAATAACTAAATTTAACTCCAGGCACGTCGTCTCGGACCGACTGCCGACGCTGCCGGCCAGCTGCTCCCGGCTGGCCGATCACAAACCGGAAAAACCGGCCGAAATCCAGCAGGCCGTCAAGTTATAGCGAAAATTAAAATAAGCTCAAATAAATACAAAAACTGTATAAAATAGGTCGAAAATCAATAGAAATACAATATAAAAATCTTTATTCCATGTGGCAGTCGACGGACAAGATAATAATACATAGAAGATGGATAAATAGATAGATGGCAGAGGGGATACGGTCCAGAATAAAGCTGATAATGAATAAATAAAGAAATCGGAGGGCCTAGAATTTTCGGGGAAAGCTAGATAGGAAAATATACGGTATAAAACGAAGAATTTTGGGTGTTTTCGGCCTTGGCAACGTGCCAAATCTCCTAAAAACACAAAGTAAATGTGAAAGAACGGACACTGGGCGAAAAAGTGCGTCGGGATCAAAGAAAGTATGTGAAAAAATTCATAAAATACCCATCACAGGTTTTTTAGGGGTTGGAAGGGTGTAGATTAGCAGTCAATTAGCCATAAGATACGGTAGGTTGGTCAGATTATGAAAATGACATGGGAAAGTTGGTCTTGGAGTTTTGGATTACATAATAGGGGAGGGGCTGTGAAAGAAAGTGGCATAAAATGCTCTACAAACTATATAAAATATCGTGTTTTGAGGAGGAAAAGAATATATAATGGGACTGCTTTCAACGGTCCTTTAAAAGGGGAATTCACCTCTAGATTTCAGCAAATATTGAGCTCATTATAACGGGTTTTACTTTTCTAAATAGTGAAATCCACCAGATCTCACACCCTTTTGCGTGGCCAATTGGTAATGCTCTCGCTTGTCGCCCACACGACCCGGGTTCGATCCCCGCCCGGTTAAAATCTTTTGCTTTTTACCCAATACTAGAGGTGAATATCCCCTCAACTAATCCAAGGGCCCGGGCGTCTTCCGGCTGCCCAGAATCACCGGCACGACGACGTCGAAATGGTCGAGGTCGAGCTTGAAGAAGTAGCTGCACGTCACCAGGCCGTTTGCCTGAAATTTTGCGATTTTTTTAGTGGGAAAAGCGTCTTTGAAAGCCAAACGAAATCAGGGTTTCCGTTTTTCGGGTGGGTGCTTTTGGAAAAAAATAAACTCGGGATTTTCTTGCAGCACACAACAGCAAAAATAGGGGTGGGTGAAGATGAACCGGAAATTGGACAGTAACGTAAAGGACTTGGATAGGATAGATGGGGGATTTTGTGCACTCTGAAAAATGCGGCGTTACCTTGTCGAGGACATCCGCTCTAATCGCCTAAAAAATCGGGGCTGCTGCTTGATTGAAGCTTTTAAAACCATTTTTACGATTGCATACACTTGTTTATAATTTCTTATATCCATAAAAATACAATTTAAAGGTTTTCCGAAGCCGAAATCGACCTTGTTCCTAGCATAGGTCTCGACAGCTACGCAACACACCAAGGAGGTAATTTGGAGTGCGGCATAGCTGTCGAGACATAGCCGAAATCAGGGGTCGATCTCGCACTTCCCGAACCCCTTAAAAGGGCTCCACAAGGCATAGCTAAGGATTTTCAAAAATGTTTGCCACGATCGCGACACGCAACGCAGGCCCAGAAATCCATTGCGCAATGTAAGCGCGAACCAGCGCGTCGCGTGTCGCGGGCTGCGGCATCATTTAGTGGGAATCCACAGCCACGCCTTGCCGGTCCCTTTAAAAGTACGCGCGACACCTATGACCGACCTGTATACTCGTAGGGGGGAGGTCACTGGGAATTGTAAAGTCGATCACTTTGGTCTCGGGCCCTTTGCCCGGCGCCGCTTTGCAGGAACCCTGAAAAATTGTTGGGGGTTTTACGGAACGCGCACGCGACGCGCCGTAACGCGTTAGCGCTCCGCTTTTAACGAAACTTACATGTGTATCGACAGCTATCGTAATCGATCGCCGGTCGGACAGGTGGGTCTCGTAGCGATTCCGGGACACGAAATCGATTTGCTGACACAGGGATATCAACACGCAATCCTTGTCCGCGTCCTGAAAGGCAAAATTGAATTGAAAATCGAGCTCTAAAGGGAACAGGAAGGCAAAAGTTCCGCTATTCCGTCAAATTCCATCCTTTTTGGCGCCTTTATTCACCCAGAAATACCTCTCACTCACCCGTTTCCGCCACCGTTTTGGCTTCGTCTTGTTGTCGAGGGTCAGCGTGACTCTCGTGGTTTCGCCTGAAAAAGGCATTTAAGGCATCTTCTACGTTTTATTAACTTAACAATAAAGAATATAAGGAGCTTTAAAAAGCATAAAACCCTAAAAACCCGGCCCACCTGGCAAAAGCCCGACTTCCTCCACCTGCATCGTTGCCGTCAGCATGCCCTTTTTCCGCCCACAACAGCCCCGCAACTATAACAATCGATTACGCCGTGAAAATGAGTTGACTACGCCATTATCCTCTATACACCCCTGTTTCTGTGCGCCACCCTCACCTCCTCTTCCTCGGTGACCGACGTCGACTCGCGCAGATACGGCGCGTCCAGGTTGAGCAACGACCACACTTTGAATGTCTTTTCTGAAATTGGACTGTATTGTTTCTCGTTTTATTTTTACGCACCTGATATGAATTCACTGCCGCCGTCCTCGGGGAGATGGAGCACGGCCGAGCACGTGTACCGCACGCTGCCGTACCCCTCGCGCTCCACGGATGAGACGACGTCGAGGGGAAGCTGAAGCTCAGAATTTTCCTGGCATTAGAGGAGCGCGGAAGTCTCAGGTTTTTTGATCAATCGAAAACTTGTCTGCGCATAGTTTTAGCTAATGTCGAACATAATAAGTTTACAAAATCTATACAAAAATCTAGATTTTTTCTCGAAAAATCGATTTTTTTTCGTTGTAAAATGAGAAATGCCCGATTTTTCCTAATTTTGCAATGTTGAAAAAATTAAAATATAGTTAATTGTTCTAAAAACTCTATAAAAACCTTTATATTTATATCGTAACAACAATAACAAACCTGCGCCTCAAAGTCAATCTTGTGCAACCCGTCGTGCAGCTCGTACTCGGGGTTGCAGTGCTCGAAAATCTCGACGGTGAGGTCGATCGGCTCATCGAGCACCGTCTCGCGGCTCTCGAACGAGAGCTCGCTGTTCTTGTTGTACCAACCCTGAATTATATTATTTTGTGAGGTCAAAACCTCTTCCTACCGTCTCGGCCAACCCGAACAGCCGTACGTGCAGCCCGGCCACCTTGACGGGACGCGCCGCGTGGATCGTGATCTCGCCCTGGAAATATATTAAGGAATTTTACGAGCATCAAACCACTAATTAAACGTTTCTTATATTAGGAAAGTGCTTTCTCCTTCATAGCTAGTTTAAAGTGAAAAAAGTAGCGTCAGAACTTTAAAAAAGTCCTAGAAAAGCTTTTTAATTATTCAAAAATTTTCAAAAAGAAATTGTGGCGCCAGATATTCTCATTTTTAAATTTTTGTCTGAAAACAAAAAAAATTCTGAAGAAAAAGAAGATAGAGCCAGCGTTCTTATCCAGCGAGTTTTAAAAGAAAAGATATGGGAAGATAAAAACTAAAATTTTGAATTCGCACCCTTTTTAATGTTTTTATACCTAACAAAATCATTACTTCATTAGAAAACGACAGACCTTGATGCGATCGCCCCCTACATAGGGCGTGTCGAGGTTTCTGTCGAGGACGAGGTCGAAGTGCTCGATCCGCATGCCAGTCTGCTCATGACCGCTGCTTCAACATCACCTGGAAAATGTAAATAAAGTTATAATGTCACAACAACCGCGAAATTCGGCTTGACATGGCTTAGCTTTCAACTCTCAAAAGAGACAAATCAGAAACCACCCAAAAACCGACCCATGCACGCAGAAGTGGTCCCCTCGGTGGGTTGTTTCCTTCGCCCCTGGGGCTCCACCTGAAAAAAGGGCAGCTTGAACACACAAAGGAAAGCAATGGAAAACGTGGGTTATTGAAAGGTCGAATTTCGACGTCGAGTCGCCACTAAAAATCAACGAATTCAGGGTCCATTGTGCCCCTAGCTCAACAATGGCCCCGGCGAGTTCAGGTGTCCAAAATTGGTGAGCTCTAAAAAAGCAACAAAGCGGATCTTTCGTGTTATCGAGGGGGGGGCTACACGTAAAAACTTTACACATATTTCATGAGCAAACATTGAAAAAATTGAGAAAAGGGAAAATATTTCAACCGAAAAAACGCCGAAATTTGAGCAAATCCTGGAAACTTTAACATTTTTCGAACTTTGGAAGTCATTTTTCTACTTAAAATACAGCTAAAATGTGCCAAAAAAACTATTAAAATATTAGATCCCAGTACTCTGCAGATCACTTCTAGAACCCCCCCCCCTCCCCCCACCGATAATTCCAAAGGACAGGAAAACACATGAATCCTTTGTACAAAAAACGATAGACATCACTTTTCGACCTTGCCAACATCCCATCTGCCCCGCAAAAAACCAGACGCCGACAAACGTCGACAAGAATTTGATTTGCATTGGGGCACCATGGCAAATCTAGGGGCCAATAATGACGGCATCTCGCAGGCGCCTCGCCGAATTGATGCCCTCATCATATTAGGACCCGGGGCTGGGCCATAAGAAAAAGGGCCCACGCTCCCCGGACCACCGGGCCCCACAAAACGATGTCAGATTACAGCCGAACACGAACATCCCAAACTGGCACCCAGCTCTCGGGATTGAGATTGATGAGATCGGGGGGTTTGGTCAGCTTGTGGTTTTTGAAAGGAAGCCGTTTTGGAAAGCTTTTAAAAATCCTTTAAGCGGTTAAAAAAGCGCGCTTAGTTTTTCAATAGGCATTAATTATAGCTTAAAAAACTTAAAATAGGACGAAACGGCAAAATTGACGAAAATCTCGTGCTATTCGCAATCTTCCAGCTTGAGGTTTTTTGGCGTGAGTTTTTAGTGATTCATAAAAAAACGCGATTTCCCAACACCCTCAAAATGCCGAAAATCAGAATGCCTAAAATTAAGGTGCCGAAATTTTATGATGTCGAAATTTCAGAAAGCCGAAATTTACCTCAGCAAATCTCGCGCAAAAAAAACCCGAAATCCCATACGAACGATGTCGCCATATCGATACATATCGATACCATGATTTTCGAAATTATGATCGCCAATCGATTTCGACAGCTAAATCCTATTTCCGGTGGCAAAAAAATCAAAATCCACGCGGAATCTCTGCCATAATCCCGAGAGCCAAAACCAGAAACGGCTTCCGAATGTCGGTATTTCGGGTTTTCCCAACCCGAGGAAAAGCTTCTAAAAAGTATCTCGGCCGATTGCCAGCCCCAATCGGCGGCTGTAACATCGCCAGTGCCACGATGGTAGGCTATAAAAGCTGGCGGTAAAACGGGACGAATGACCCCCAATCGAGTAGCTGAAGCTCAAGATCCCAAAAAAACTCGTGATCCCCGTGAAGTACAGCTGTAATTAGGTGTGGCCCGGAATTGGCCCTCAATCCAATTAGCCACCAGGGTGAGCAGCAATTTGGCCGGGTTAAAAATACGTGCTGAGGATCTGGGGCAACTACAGTAGATAATTCTTCGCGGCTGCTTAATTGTCGAAAAAATAATTTGGCCTTGGAGGAAAAATATTTGGTTTTGGGCAGGCTAGCAAAGGTCATTTGGGAAATCGCAGCGCTTGAGATGGGTCGTTTGTGCGGATCAAAATCAGCTGGTACTCGGCTGTTATCGGGGGGGGGGGGCAGGCGTTCAGCGGGCCAGTTTTTTTCTTTATTCCTGAAAAGGATGTCGAATGGAAATCGGAACACTTTAAAAATTCGAAATTTTGTTCCAAAAATCGTTAATTTTTGGTTTTTTTTTAATAGAAAACTGTAATATTTTTACGTGTAACAATCAAAAAAGATTTCGAAACACTTTCTGTATTATTTTCTAAAAAGTTGTCTCGTGAAAAGTGGCAAGATTATCTAAAAAAACTATAAAAATGCAAGTTTTGGCAGAAAAACCTATATTTTTGATTTTTTTTACTAAAAATTCGTAAAGAGTGCGTAAATTTAGGGTACCAAAAATAGTTGAAAATACTTTCTCTAGTTACATCAGAAAAACCGGATTGTAAAGCGACAATTTGCCCACCCCCGATAACGCGAAAGCACCGGAACTTGTTAAGGCGACTGGAACAAGTTCAAAAATGCAATTATGGCAATGGGGGCCTATGTGTGTGTGCCGAGGGGCAGAATAGAAACTCTACCCGAGCACCAGCATCCACCGGTTTGGTCTCCCCGTCATTCTCCTCCCATCCACTCCTCACACTCCGGGGATACAACCCTTTCCGGGCACCAAAAGCCCCTCTTCTCGGCTTCAGAATCCAGAAATAGGACCCCTCAAGGAGTAGCCGATGCGGGGAAACCCCCCAGATTTGGAAGCATGACCCTGACATCACACCTCCAAGATGACAACACCAAAGTTTACGGGAAGCAGCTTGAGTAGAGCTAAACAAATATACTAAATCAGAACCATAAATAACTCAAAAATGTTCTAAAAATAGAAGCTAAACTAAGTTCATCTAATCTACAAAAAAAATACAAAAATACTGCGAATGTAATGAGAACAACACTTGCGCGGTCGAACTTTGTAGCCAGATTTTCCTGCTTGACGTTAAAAGTTAAATTAGCAGAATACAAACCAAAACAACACCATTTTAAAATTAAATTAGTTGGACAAGGAATCCCCCCTCCGTCGACTAGGAATAGACAGATACGCGCGGCGCTAAGACGCTACATTGCAATTGAGAAAATGAAATTAAGCTAAAACCGGTTGGTGTGGTGCGTAGTTGTCTAGACCTAGTCGACGAAAGGGTCGATTCTAACGCTCCCCGGACATTTAAGGAACACGAACTTATTTTTTTCTAACGAAAAATGAAATTTTTATAACGGAAGGCGCTTTACAGTCGGCAAAATGCTTTTTTAAATCCGCCAAAAAGCAAAGAAAAGAAGAAAAGCGGCGACAACCCCACCCGGGCAGGCGGTAAACCTTCCCAGCCCAAACCTTCCAGATAAAGTATGTCTGAAGGACAAGGCAAAAGAAACGAGTGGCCCCGTTGTTTCAAGAAGTTTCCCGGGGGGACCTCATCCCCGTCTATCCCCCCCATCCTGACTCGACCCCCACCGGGACACCCATTTCCGCCTAACTAGGGAAGTCCAAGATACCCGCAACACGAATCGGGCTGAAAATTTGCACAGTTATAGAACCGACCATGCTGATCATCGCCTCGTTGTCCGAATTTGCTACCGAGCTTAAATAATTAAGATATTAAACTTTTAAAATGGGCCAAAAACCCACTACCCTGACCCTGGCTCACTAGAGCGGGTGGGGTTCAAGAGGGCTTTGGGAGGTCCCCTTTCCAGAGCTTCGGTAGTCAACTGGTAAGCGCCTCGCTTCCCGGGTGGAGGGTCCGGGTTCGGACCCGGTCCGCGCATATTTCTTTTGCTTTTTGCTAATTTTGCGCCGCACATGTGGCGCGTGTCCAGATTGTGTTATGCACACGCATTTACGTAGATCCTAGAAATGAAATTCAACGAAATCATAAATTTATGAAAAAGTTCATAAAAACGGCACTAGTAAAAAAAATTGTTAAAAACCGGTATTCCGTAATTCGACCGCAGCAACCGGCTCATTTGCGTGTAGTAAAAAACACAATCTGGACACGCGCCACATGTGCGGCGCAAAATTAGCAAAAAGCAAAAGAAAAATGCGCGGACCGGGTCCGAACCCGGACCCTCCACCCGGGAAGCGAGGCGCTTACCAGTTGACTACCGAAGCTCTGGAAAGGGGGCCTCCCAAAGGCCTCTTGAACCCCACCCGCTCTAGTGAGCCAGGGTCAGGGTAGTGGGTTTTTGGCCCATTTTAAAAGTTTAATATCTTAATTATTTAAGCTCGGTAGCAAATTCGGACAACGAGGCGATGATCAGCATGGTCGGTTCTATAACTGTGCAAATTTTCAGCCCGATTCGTGTTGCGGGTATCTTGGACTTCCCTAGTAAATACCCTAAACATGCTGTCCAGCTCATCCGGCCCATCCTACCCCAATCTAAATTCGGAATCGCTCACTTTGGCTGCTGCTGCTGGGCAAGCGGCCAAATTGGGGGCTCCCTACCCTGGGATTGGTATGGGGGACAATGGTTTGAGGGGGAGTTGCCTAAACGAATCCCTATTTAGGTGGTAACGTAGTTTTGTAATTTCGCGTAGCTCATTCGCTAGAGATTGAATTTCTGAATGAGCGCCAGCTTTCAAAAACTGCAGAACTATATTCGATTTGAAAGGCAGATTTTGCGCATTTTTGGCTAACCGCTTGACAAGACGCAAAGAGTTCTCCTACTATTCCGTGTTCGCGCAGTAGTTTTGAAAGCTTGAGTTTGTTCAGAAGTTCAGGCGCTTTCGAATGATGATATATCTGTCGAAGAATCTTTAGTACCTTAATCCGGTTCTTCTAATCAGCAAAAGCAAAGGGTACAGCTTTCTTCGGCTTTTATAACTTCGAAGGCTATTTAAAAACAGAAAACACATGAAAATCCGTAAAATGCCGTAGCCCGTCGCTTTCCCTGGGATCTCAGTGGTCAGCGAAGCGTCACCAAATGTTGGTAACTCGATTGGGAAGTTGCCGTAAGACCCTCATCCTCCAAAAAGACTCGTACTCGTAGATAAAGGTAGATTAACTTAAGTT